GAAATTAGAACATTGAGAAATTTTTAATTAACTTTTTACTTTTACTTTACTTTTATCCTCTTCGCCACTGATCGGCTTGTTAGCCGCTTGGGCGATCGGTCACGTCTCTTTTCCTTTATATTCTTCACCAAAAGGTCGGCTCGCTAGCCGCCCGGGCGATCGGTCACGTCTCTGTCACGCACTGTTGGCAAATACTGGGCATGCACCGGCTCCTGAATGTACCTGAACCCGCTCCAGTGTTGGTCAAGTCTTCTCTTGAAAGAGCTCACACTCGGTGCCGTCACAACACTCTCTGGTAGATTGTTCCAAGAGTTTACAACCCTCACTCCGAAAAAGTTTGCCCTCACGGTTTTCCGGACTTGCGGCTTCTTCAATCTTGAGCTGTGACCCCTTGTGGGGCGAGCGTCCGCCAGCTCCAAGTAAGGACACTCAACTGAGTAGTGCCCCCTGAGATGCTTATAAACCTCAACTAGGTCCCCCTTGCCCGTCTGTAGTATAAGCTAGGCAAGTTCAGGCGCTCCAATCTCTCAGGGTAGCTGAGATGCCGAAGTGCAGGCACCAGTTTGGTGGCCCTCCTTTGAACATTTTCAACCAACTGACAGTCCCTAGCATATCTCGGGGACCAGATGGGGTGACAGTACTCCAGATGGGGAAGCACTTCACTCCTGAAGATCGTCACGAGGGACGGACCGTCTAGATATCTGAACGACCTTCTTATAAGACCCAATAATTTATTTGCCTGATTTACCTTCTTCTCACAATGGCCCGAGAACTTCAGCTCATTGTCAACATACACACCTAGGTCCTTCTCACACACAGTCTCAACTAGTACATTTTCTTCATCCCGTTGGGACATATGGTACGCCTCCTTACCGTTGGTACGCCCCAGGTGCATCCTCTTACACTTCGTGACATTGAATCTCAGCAGCCATTCCTTCGACCATTCCTGGAGCCCACAGAGGTCCTTCTGCAGCTCTTCACAGTCCGCTTGGTTCTTAATTTCCCGAAATAACTTGGCGTCATCGGCAAACATTTGTATGGAGGAGTGTACAACGTCAGGCATATCATTTATGAAACAAACAAACAACAGCGGGCCCAATACACTACCCTGCGGTACCCCACTTGTTACAGGTACAGATGACGATTTCGTGCCATTAATCACCACACATTGCTTGCGGTCATGTAGAAAGTCTTCTATCCACGCTAGGACATTTCCCCGAATTCCGTACCCTTCCAGTTTGATTTTCAGCCTTTCGTGGGGTACACTGTCGAAAGCCTTGGCAAAATCTAGGTAAATATTGTCGATATTACCACCCCTGGAGTCATTCATGTGGTTTCAAGTCGACCAGCCCTGATATAGCTACTACCGCACATGCCAAAATTTTCAAGAGACTTCACAGAAAAGAATATATTATTAGTTATTACAGAGAGATGATTCTTTGCATTATTAATCAGATAAACCTCTACTCAAATAATGGTTCTGTCCAAGAATGCATGTATAGGCTTCTTTAAGTCCTAGGTCAGATGTAATATGTGGAGGCCCCCAGATTGTGGAGGCTCCTGGGCAGCTGCCCACTTTGCCCACTCCTGAATCCGGCCCTGTTGTGGTGTCTTGAATTGCCTTAATTTTCCCTCCCTTACTTCTCACTGTCACCAACCTTCGTGCCGTGTGTGTTGAATGAGCTAGTTCTCCCCTCCTCCCCAAGTTATTAACAGTTTACCCCATGCAAATAAAAGGTTAGAAAATGCAGCTGGGTTTTCATACGTGGTGTTATCATAGAAAATGGAGTTTTATAGATGTTTGAAGGGGGACTCATTGGTTTTGGCTGGGTGAGAGTAGGGATGAGGGGGGAGTGAGAGGTGAAATGAGGGAGAAGTAAGAGTAAGGGATGGTGTAAAGATTGAGGAATGAGACGGGAGGAAGGTTAGGAGAGAGAGAGAGAGAGAGAGATTGTTCAGGTCTCCAAAGATGTTGAGAATCTATTAATAAGACGCTGGTAATAATTGATTAACTGTACCGTGTATAGACAGACAGACAGACAGATTCATTAATCATATGAAATCAGCTGGGGTGCCGAATCTTCACGTGATTCAAACAATGTACGAGGTGCCTGTACATCCTGAACCATTATGGTGTAGTGGATTTCTCCTGCTGTTTGTCGCTGGGTAGCCGACCCCGCGAATTCCCCAGTGTATGCCTCGTGGTCTAGGTCAACCAGCGCCGCCTTACATGACGGAGGTCAACTACTAAGCCACGCCTACCTTCGCTATAAAAGACCTGACCTCGTGGTGACCACTCTCCTCTTCTCTAGCTACAGCCGCAGCAAGGAACACCACCTCTCCGCCGCTGCCTGGCGGCCCTCGCTCCCGCCGGCGAGCATGGTGACCCACAAGCTTGTCCTCCTCTGAGCACCCTCACCAACCAGCTCTCTCTACTCAACGCTTGTAACCGCGCTGCCTTCCCAGCACCAAGCTGCATTGTACATCCAATACAACGTGTATACAGAGAGCACATTGTGAGTTTCCTTTCTTCATTCCATCCTGAGTGTGAACCAACCATAACATACCCCACAATGGCTTTGTATTACGATTTTACTGAATATATATCTATCTATCTGTCTATCTATCTATCTATCTATCTATCTATCTATCAGGTGGCCCGCGTTACAGCAGGTAGGTCGGCCTCGTCATGCTCCTCTCCACACGACAACTATAAGTGGTGTTCCGTGATTAACCTGACCTTGAGCTCCACAATTATGTCCTTCCCACCTACACCCCACACCCCCTCCACCTTCTTAACTACACCTTACTCCCTCCTCCTCGTCCTTCTCAACTACACCCTACACCCCCTCCTCGTCCTTCCCACCTACACCCCCCTCCTTCTTCTTAACTACACCTTACACCCCCCCCTCCTTCCCACCTACACCCTACACCCTCCTCTTCCTCCTCCTCCTCATCAACAACCAGCTACACCACATGTTTTTATATATAGATAGATAGATAGACAGATAGATAGATAGATAGATATTCAGTATGCTCAGGCGTCTATTTTCACATTGGTTAGGTAAGGTCAGTAGTTAGGTTAGGTCAGGCTAATTTAGTTTAGGTTAGGTTAGTTTACGTTAGTTTAGGTTTGTTTAGGTTAGTTTAGGATTAGGTTAAGTTGTGTTTCCGTTAGGTTAGGTTACGTTAGGTTAGGTTACGTTAGGTTAGGTTAGGTTATAGAAGTGAAATAAGTAAATAAATTGTCAAAACTAAGACATCTTACACCAAAAACACAGCCGAGAGAGAGAGGAGGTCACTGACAGCTCCTTCCTTTTGTTGACACTTGTGTGGGTGGGGGGGCGGTCACTGTGTGTAGTGTGGTGTTTGATCACTGGTGGCGAGGTATTGGCTGTCAACCACACTGGACAAAGGGAAACACTGGACAAAATCCCCCTTGGACATAATCTCCAATGGACAAAATCTCCCCTGGATAAAATGTCCCCGAGAAAATCCCCTCAGTTAAAGTGCAGTGAAGGATAAAATCCCCCACTTTTTGATATTAATGTTTCTCAAGGTTATAGGGTGGGGAGGGAGAGGGAGGGAAGGAGTGGGAGAGGGTGGGGAGGAGTGGGAGACAGTGAGGGAAGGAGTGGGAGAGAGTGAGGGAAGGAGTGAGTTAGAGGTAAGGAGTGAAGGAGGATGAATCATTAGGATATACTCCCTTCCATACACCTAACCTAACGAATGTAAAGAGAATAATGCCAACCAAGTAAATTAATGGAAGGAGGGAAGGAAGGAAGGGGAGATGGAGGGAGGGGGAAGGAGAGAGGGAAGGAAAGAAGGAAGGAAGGAAGGAGGGAGGTGAAAAGGAGGGTGAGAGGGAGGAAAGGATCGTGAAAGGAGGGTCAGAGGGAGGGAAGGAACGAGTGTACACTAATGATGCCAGATAATAGGGAGAGTTAGTGTAAATGTTTGTCAGGTTGAATGCCTCAACCTTAGGAAGTGTATTACAGTCATATTTCACACACACACACACACACACCACACACACACACACACACACACACACACACACACACACACCACACACATTTCCTTAAACCACTATAATAAATTAACTAAATATATATTAAATAAATTCGATGATGTTTATTAACGATTTATATATTTTAACTGTTACAATTGGTTATAATTATGTTATGTTACGAGGGCGTTTATAAACAGTGTGTACCCCAGCCGTCTGTCATCACCAGAACTGTGTTGAGAGTACAGGGGAGGAAGAGGTGGGAGGGAGGGGAGGTAAAGAAGGAAGGGGAGTACAAGGAGGGAGGTAAGAAGAAAGAAGGGAGATAAGAAGAAGTGATAAGGAGGGAGAGAACAGAAAAGAGGGGAGGAAAGAAAGGGAGATAGGGGTGAAGAGAAGAGGAAAGAAAGGAATGAGGATACAAGGGAAAGAAGGGGGAAGGGAGGCGAAGGAAGAAAAAAGGTGAGAGAGGGAAGGGGGAAGGAACGGAGGAAGGGAGAGAAAGCGTGAGGGAGGGACTGAGGGAGAGTAAACCACACACACTGTACCACACCTTCAAGGTCTGTATAAATATTTACTGAGGCATTGTAGTGTAGGGAAAGAGGAAGGGATAGAAGAGATAACGAATAACTGGAAAGGAAAGCCTATAGCGTCGATAACTGGGGGGAGAGGCGGAACACTGGAGAAGTTGACCAAACATTGAAGATTTTTATAGTTCTTCTTCTTCTTCTTCTTCTTCATTAGTCTTTTCTTTATCATCTATTTATTGCTTATTTGCTTATTTCTTCTTGTACTAATGATTAAAACACACACACACACACACACACACACACACACACACACACACACACACACACACACACACACCCTATTATCATTATTATTTCTGGGATATTCTTTTCTCTCTTTTTATATGAGTTACAGTAAAACCAACATCTAAGACCCTTTTGACATGTTAGCCAACCTTTAGAGGGAACAGAATGATAAACAATGTCATTCTTCTTTTATTTGTTGATCCAAGCCATTACAAGTAGTTATGAGGAAGACTACAGGAAATACAAGGTTATTTAGTCCGTCAATGTAATGGTCTGTGTTCGCTAGATTGCTGTAGTGAGGTACGGAAGATGAACGTGACAGTGTGAAGAACAACTAAGGTCAGCCCAGGGTATTTTGTGATGCTATTTGTAGTGAAGGAGTCATAATACTGCCTTCAGGAGCGTCACAGGAAGAGTGTTGGAGAGTGCTGAGGTCCTTGTTCATGGTGGTTCCTGTGGCCCTCGTGTAGGTGTAGGACTCCCAAACTCTCTCGGCGTATAGGACACCTTTTTTTTTTTACGCATATCCGATGACACCACAGCCTACGCGGCCTCCAGCGTTGCCTGTCTTGAGACTCTCAGCATCACCACCAAGTCCTACATCGTCCTCCCCGGCATGAACGACCACCGCACGACCCACCACTGCCCTCGGCCCCACCAACGTCACCAACTCGTCCGTGATGTTGACATACGCGGTACCGTTGTTGTCCGCCAGGATGTTGCCCAAGTCGCCCACGTGTCGCTGCAGGTTGTCAGGGTGGCCGTGGTTCCTCTGTAAACAAACATTATTTATGTTATTAATACCCCAGTGAGTGCGTGAGTGAGTGAATGTAAGTGTGTGTGTGTGTGTGTGTGTGTGTGTGTGGGTGTGTGTGTAAAATAATAATAAAAATAATAATAAACGGTTTATTAATAGAGTTGCAGCCGGTGGCTGAAAATATACAGACTTACATTTGATTTAGACATAATGATATAATATGCATTAAATACACGTGTGTGTGTGTGTGTGTGTGTGTGTGTGTGTGTGTGTGTGTATGTAAGAGAGTCACCATACTTACTCTAAAGGGGTTGTAGTGACCGCCAGCAGTGCCACAGCCGCCAGACAGGTCGCCAAATTGATGAACATGGAAGCCGTGAAGACCAGGTGTAAGGCCAGTTATCGTTCCCTCAACCCTGGTAGCTCCTGTGGGAGGCGTGTCCTGCGTCAGTACCAAGGTGCCTTCCACTGACCCTTCCAACACCGCCACTGCTTTTCTGGGGGGTGGTGGATTCTGTTGGTGGAGTACACGGGTTATATTGAGTACATATATATATGTGTGTGTGTGTGTGTGTGTGTGTGTGTGTGTGTGTGTGTGTGGCGAAGTACTTTGTGTGTAGGGGACAGTACAAGTGCGTGGGGAAGTACTTGGGTGAAGTACTCGTGTATAAGTGAAGAACAAGTGTGTATGGACAGTACAGGTGTGTGGGGACAAGACAAATGTTTAGGGGCAGTACAAGTGTGGGGAAGGGCAATACTAGTGTGGGGAGGGTCAGCCACAAGTGTGGGGAGGAGCAATACAAGTGTGGGGAGGAGCAATACAAGTATGGGGAGGAGCAATACAAGTATGGGGAGGAGCAATACAAGTAGAAAGCTTGCTGTGAACATAAATAATTTGGGTAAGATAAAAAAAACTTGCCAGACGAGTCATGCATGGTGGTGAGGGTGGTGGTGAGAGGGGAGGGGGTTGAGGGAGGGTGGTGGGGAGGGACAAGGATGGAGGAATTTAATGAGGGAGGAAGGACAAGGCGAGGACGAGAGATGATGTTGGGGGAGTGAGGGAGGAAAACCAATCCTATGTGTATACTGGAGGAGGACTTACGGGGGAGTAAGGGTGGATGATGATCTGGAGGAGGACTTACGGGGGAGTAAGGGTGGATGATGATCTGGATGATGTCTGAAGTGTCGGAGGAAGAGGTCCTGGTATTGAGCTGGGTTGACCCGTCGGCGGAGTCGATGTACAGGAGAGAGGGGTAATGGTTCGTGTACACCACTTGACGTTCGTTCCTGGTGCTGCTGGGTACTGCCATCCCCACGCCCACCATCACCGCCCAAACCGCCCACACTGATGCCAACCTAGAGAGAGATAACGAGAAAGAAAGAAGATATTTAGTAATGGCAGGAAAATAGTTTTATCTGTTAAGTTATACACACACACACACACACACACACACAGAGGAAGGTGCACAATGGTTGTCCCTCGTCATTGTATAATCAGGTAAAGGAATACGAATCATCAAAATGACTTCGATTATGAGGCTGGACAATGGTGAGGATCCTGGACAAAGACACGGTGCTGTAGAGGCTGGGACTACCAAGGTCAGTACTGGAGAGAGGGAGTGGCGGGGGAGGGGGCTGGAGAGAGGGAGTGGCAGGGGTGAAGACAAGGGAGAGCTGGATAGGAGGGAGGGAGTGATTAGAAAGAAGGAGGACAGAGAAAGAGAGACTGGTCAGAGGGAAGAAAGGACCACAAAGGAGACAGACAGAGAGAGAGAGAGAGAGATAAATATTGGAAAGGAGGAGGGACATAAGGAGACCCATGAAGGAAGGAGTGAAGGAGCCCAGGACAGCTTCCCTCCTTCCCTCTCCTTCCCTGCGGTAGGAACACTATGTGGCAGTAACAGGTGTGTGTGTGTGTGTGTGTGTGTGTGTGTGTGTGTAATAATAATAAATGGTTTATTAATAGAGTTGCAGCCGGTGGCTGAAAATATACAAACTTACATTTGATTTAGACATAATGATATAATATGCATTGAATACATTTACAGGGCTGTACAGATGGTGCTATTCTTATAGCTATCGGTGCTGGCTCTTATGGGCTGAAATTTGTTGTAGTGGCGGACTGCGCGAGGTGGCAGGAGGTGGCAATGACGAGGGTGGTGCATTAGTTTGTGTGTGTGTGTGTGTGTGTAATAATGAATAATAATAATACTAATAATAATTAGCGGTTTATTGAAAAAGTCGGCAGCCCGAAGGCTGAAAATATACATTGGACAAAAATGACTTATTACATACAAAGACACGGTGTGTGTGTGTGTGTGTGTACTGTACAGTCGCCTGCACTTATACCTGGTACAGTAGTTGGTGAGTTTTGTGAGATGTGGCAATTCTCCGGAATGCTTATCTAGCATCCTTAGTCCGGCTACTATTGTGAGGCTCCTTAGGGCTGCCAGTGGACAACCTTCCCCTCACCAATAAACCAGTGTAAGGATTGATTATATCTACTCACGACTGAAACGAAAGTGACAATTCGAAAGGGGATACAAAGTGCAGTGTGGACTGTGAATACGAATCAGTGGTAGACCGACACGTGCTTGTTTTAAACCCGTTGTTTAGTCCAGTGTCAGGTGTGCTGAGTCACCTGTACAACTGGGTCAATATTGGTTGTTCTGACCACTGCCACCACCTGACCACTGCTACCACCTGATCACTGCTACCACCTGATCACTGCCACCACCTGACCACTGCCACCACCTGACCACTGCTACCACCTGATCACTGCCACCACTTGACCACTGCCACCGCCTGACCACTGCCACCACCTGATCACTGCTACCACCTAACCACTGCTACCACCTGATGACGGTGATGGTGGTGGTGGTGGTGATGACGGTGATGACGAGATGGTGGTAATTGTGGCGGGGTTCACATCACCCGAGGCACAGCACTCCCTCCCTCACCTTGACCTTGACTCCCTGGGCTAAGGTGTGGATGTTAGGTAAGGTCTCTGACTCACTAAGGTACCGTCCTAACTCGGGAATTTCCTTCGCTGTAGTTAATTGATGTCTTAAGGTTTTGAAGTTCCTCGAATTACCTGAAGATTAGACACCCCGGTTTATTTTACCTGGAGATTAATCACCATAACGCTAACCTAACCTAACCTATCCTAATCTAACCTAACCTTATTTAACGCTACCTTATGTCATCATCAAGTGGTAAAAAATGTGTACAAAATAAGAAAAATAAGTAATAAGGTGTGGAAGTGAAAGTAGTCTTGGGAAGAGATTTTAAAAGTTGAAGTAATCAGGTATTGAACTCAACTGAAGATTAGCCCTCTGCCCAAAGTTTATCCTTGGTGGAGGTGATGACCGGCACTCGGGAGGTCAGAAGTCAAGGGTCGGCATGTCCCTGCCCCCCGACACCACACGCACATACAAATAAAGAGAGAGAGAGAGAGAGAGAGAGAGAGAGAGAGAGACTACATTCACTTGACCCCTCTTATGCGTCTTGTGATATTTTATTCAGGCAAGGTAGTGTTTATTATGCCACTAGGCCAGGTCAGCTTCAGATATGACTTGCTTATTTTAGGTCGGGTCAGGTCACGTGAGATACCATAACTTTCTCCCTCTCCCGAACCTGATCCTTGTCTATCTGTCCTCCCTCTTTCCCCCCTCCCCCTCTCCTACCCTCCCTCTCACATTCCCATCTTTCCATTGTTCCTTTCCTCCCTCTCTTCCTTCGTTCCCTCCCTCTGATCGTTCCATCCTCCCTCCATTCCTCCTTCTTCTATCTCTCTTCTCTCCCTCCCCCCCTCCCTCTAATGGCATGACTGGTACATTTTTTGCAGCAGACAGCAGTAATGGTTAGTATGTTCAGGTCCGTCCCAAGGTTAGGTTAGGTTCTGGGTCTACCTGTATCACCTGACTTCATTAACCTGTCGTCACCTAATACCACCTTGCCTGTACCACTTAACCCCACCTGTATCTCCGCTCACCTACACAGTCTTCTTCACCTCGTCCTCGACTCGTCAAGGTGTTACTTCTGGAAACAAGTGGCCCTTTTCACGGTGGTCGCCCTTTAACATGCACATCTATCTACCCCCTGACTACGATGTTTAACCCTTTGAATACGATGTTCACGTCTTTAGTACGATATTAACCCCTTGAGTACTATGTTTAACCCTTTGAGTACGATGTTGACCCTTTGAGTACGATTTTAACCAATTGAGTACGATATTAACCCATGGAATACGATATTCATTCCTTCAGTTCGATACATAAGAACATAAGAATGGAGGAAACTGCAGCGGGCCTATTGACCCATACTGGGCAGTCCCGTTTATACCCAACCCCTATTGCTCATATAAGCATCCAACCTATGTTTGAAGCTATCCAGCGTATTCGAGTTAATGATGATATTTGGTAACTTGTTCCATTCATCCTCTACTCTGTTTCCAAACCAGTGTTTACCTATTTCACTCCTAAATCTAAATTTGTCTAATTTAAAACCATTGTTACGAGTTTGCTCCTGGTTGGATAGTTTGAGTACCTTCGTAATGTCCCCTTTGCTTAACCCTGACTTCCATTTATACACCTCCATCATGTCGCCCCTCACTCTACGTCTCTCGACGGGGTGCAAATTAAGATGCTTTAACCTGTCTCTGTATTCAAGGTTCCTAATGCCCGGGATTAGTCTTGTCATTCTCCTCTGGATTCTTTCCAATGATTCTATATCCATTCTGTAATACGGTGACCAGAACTGAACTGCGTAATCCAGGTGAGGTCTCACAAGCGTTAGATATAATTTTAAGATGACCTCGCTAGTCTTTTAACTAACACTCTTTTGTATGAACCCAAATACTTTATTAGCCTTGTTACGAGCAAAAACACATTGTTTACTTGGCTTAAGATTCCTACTTATCTCGCAGTCGGATTCCACAATGGCATCGTTGTTCATCTGTTAATTGGTTCCCTGTTTACATCTCCTATACTGAGTACTTTACATTTGTCCACATTGAATTTCATCTGAATCCACATTGAATTTCATCTGAGTACAGTATATTTATGTTTCAAGTACCAAGATGCTAACGAGAACGATGATCTGTTCCCACGAGTACAATGATTCAGTACTTAGATAGTTGAATCATCGTACTCAAGGGTTTAAACCTCAATAAAGTGGTCAAACTAGTCAGTGTGAACCAGAAGATGAGGTTAGGTTAGGTTACGTTACGTTAGTTAGATTAGGTAAGGTTAGCATTAGGGTGTTTCATCAGGTCACAGGTCACCATCACTGTTATTGAAATTTGAGGTCAGATCACAGGTTACTGTTGTTGAAGTTTGAGGTCAGGTCAAAGGTCACCGTTACTCGTCGTAAAATAGAAAGTAATATTGACCCGACTTTGCTTACCACTTTCACCTCACTTATCACTTTACCTCAATTAACGCCTACCTCACTCAACACTTTAAGTTAGGTTAAGTTAGCGTGTTTAGATTAGGTTAAGTTTGCCTAAGGGTGGTTAATCATTCGGTGAAATAAGCTGGAGTGGATAATCTTCAGGTGAATAAACTAGGGGGTTGTCAAAAGAACTACGTTTGCAGGTAAATAAAGATCAAATAGCAATTGTCACCCCCCCCCCCTCCTCCCCAAAAAAATACTTGGTTAGAATTATGTGTGTCGGCGTGTACGAGGCGAGTGTGTACAGTATCACAGGGATGGGGAGGAGGAGGAGGGGACAAAGGGTATATAGTAATGTTATGTTACTTGGTGTAAACAGAAGGGACGCCAATATACCGCCTTAGGGTACACCAGTTGTTATGGATAAAGGCTGGGATAAAAACCTAACCTAACTTAATCCGATCTAACGTAACCTTAACGTAACGTATTCTTACTTAACCTATACTACTCCTAACTTAACTTAACCTAAACTATCCCTAACCTATACTACCCCTAATCTAACTTAACCTAACCCACCTTTAACTTTATTTAAACCTAACTTAACCTATCCCATAAAAACTTAACTATGTAAAACAGGAAGGATTAAATAATTTACTGCATAAATGATAACTATCCAAAACTTGCCTAACTTGCTGCAACTTCAAGCAGACATAACCTAACCACTTCTTGTGCGAGGCGTCGTGAGTTGCCAAACAGGTGTGTAGAGGTTGGGTTCATAAAGTTAGATTCATTTATGATAATCTCCAGAAAGTTAGATGTCTTTGTGATGACCCCTAGAAAATCAGATACCTTTTTGATGACCCCTAGAAAGTCAGGTGTCCTTGTGATGGCCCCTAGAAAGTCAGGTACCTTTTTGATGACCCCTAGAAAGTCAAGTGTCCTTGTGTTGACCCCTAGAAAGTCAGGTACCTTTTTGATGACCCCTAGAAAGTCAGGTGTCCATGTGATGATCCCTAGAAAGTCAGATACGTTTGTGATAACCTATAGACAGTCAGGTGTCTTTGTGATAACCCCTAGTAAGTCATCACTAGAAAATCAGATGTGTTGATGATCACTTCTAGACAATCAGGTGTCTTTGTGATGACCTCTAGACAATCAGATGATCCCTATTTTTAGACACATTCTTCTATAATCAAGCGCAGTGAGGCCGGGACACAATTGGGGGACTAAAGACGTAGTTGGAAGCGTCAAGGTTATGTTGGTAGTGGTGGTGGTGGTGAATCCTTCTCTTAACTCGCCAGGTGAGAGGATATACCTGTAGTCCTGTACCTGTACATATTCATGCACATCACGGCAACTACTACTACTACTACTATTACTACTACTACTACTACTACTACTCTCTCTCTGTATAGTGTACCATGAATACTAAAACAGTCATTCAAAAACATAATGAATACACTAACAACAAGAATAACAACACCACCACTACAACAACACCAAGCTGGTCATGGAAAACTCAGGTATTTCCACAGATAATAGGCCAGGTGGTAGTCCTTGGTTTTCTAAAAATAATATTACTAAAAAAAACATTCTTACTCAGATAAACATCCCGTTACTTGATGCTTGGACTGTATTGTATGTATCAAGTGCACTGTAATACGTATTGTGTGTGTGTGTGTGTGTGTGTGTGTGTGTGTGTGTGTGTGTGTGTGTTAGATGTTAGAGAATGTATTAATGTATGTACTGTATGTTTATTTACAATTATTCTATGTAATAAGTATGTTACAGTGAGTGTATGTACCAAATGTTACAGTGTCTTCATGTACACAGGGTGTTACAGTCAGTCTATGTAATCATTCATTCCAAGTAAGCTAACCTGAACTACCGTAACCGATCCTGACCTCATCTATGTTGACGAGATTTGAACTAACCTACCCTGAAACTCACCTGACCTACGCTACCCTAAAGCTAACCTACCCGACCGTAAAACTAACCTGACCGACCCTACCCTAAAACTAACCTGACCTACCCTACCCTAAAACTAACCTGACTTATCCTACCCTACCTTACCCTAAAACTAACCTGACCTACCCAACCTGACCTATCCTACCGTAAAACTAACCTTCCCTACCCGACCGTAAAACTAACCTGACCTACCCAACCCTAAAACTAACCTAACCTACCCAAAAACTAACCTAACCTACCCTACCCTAAAACTAACCTGACCGACCTGGCATCTGTCATTGGGTGAACGATTTTTTTTTTCATTATAAATCACATGAGAATTATAACAGGAGAAAAACAAAATCACAAACAAAAGCTCGGTCAAATAAATGCTAAAATATCATATCCGTCCTTCGCCTTCATGGCCCTTAAGTTGACAGTGCCAGACAGTGCCACTAATGTCCAGGGAATACTGTCCATCATTATACAAGTACAGAGTATCGTGTATTTTTTGAGTGTGTGTGTGTGGGGGGGATACATCAAATACAGTGGGAAATATACAATCTGAACTGTGTGTGTGTGTGTGTGTGTGTGGTGACGGTCAGTGGGTTCATATGCTGCTTACGTTCAGGTATCCTACAGTGCGGTGTATTGTGGAGACACTATAGGTACCTGGTGTATTGTAGAGACACTGTAGGTACCTGGTGTATTGTGGAGACACTGTTGGTACCTGGTGTATTGTGGAGACACTGTAGGTACCTGGTATATTGTGGAGACACTGTAGGTACCTGGTACCTGGTATAGAGACAATACATTTAGGTATAACGTGGAGACTTACCTCATCTTGTTCTTTCCAGGTCCGTCGCGAGTCTGCCTCTTCAAGGTCTCTTCTCTCCAATATATATACAGGAGACAGCACGAGGTCCACCAGGGGGCGTTTCTTCCTCCTACTGTGTTAGCCAATCACAGTCTCTCGGCGATTTTCTTTATTCAACGTTGATTTTTTATTGGTTATTTTTAGCCTTGTGTCCCGAATTACGTGTGTGTTAGTAATTTGTCGATTATTATTTTTTTGGGGTGATGAGTTGACAGCTCGGTTATTTTGGTGCTTATTTATTGGTTCTGTTGGTTAGATTTGGAGTGAATTTAAGCTGTTACGTCATTTTTGGCTTCTTGATGTCTCATTGGTCCAGATTTTACCTAAGAAGTCCTCTTGGATATGCGATAAGTGGTGTGTGTGTGTGTGTGTGTGTGTGTGTGTGTGTGTGTGTGTGTGTGTGTGTGTGTGTGTGTGTGTGTGTGTGTGTGTGTGCGTGCACTAAGAAATTAAACATGAAAATATCCAAATGTTTTCATAAGTATTAATCTCTCTCTCTCTCTCTCTCTCTCTCTCACACACACACACACTCACTCACATAAACCAAGACCTCCTCCTACAGGTCCCCGCCGTCACCAGCACCTCGTTCCTCCCTGACCAAATATCCCTCCTCCTAGAGACAGACCGGGTACTTTACATAGGGACCTGCCACGCTTTGCCATAAACAGATGCATTGTATCGGTAATTCTCCCTCCACACACTCGTCCTCCTGTCACTATAGGTAATTTGACGACATAACCCATGGCCCATCAGGCACTTGCGTCCTTAATGCTCGAGTCAAGAAGGCAAGCATGACCTCCGCTGCTGTAAACGCTTTAGCGCCTCGCCTTGCACAGGATGCAAGGCGGTGTCCAGTAAACTAGCACCCCGTGCGTGGACAATCTGAACCACACACACACAAGAGAGAGAGAGAGAGATTCAGAAAAGTCGTGGGGTCACTGCTGACTGAGGATTTGTAAAGTTGTGTGTGTGTGTGTGTGTGTGTGTCTGTGTGTGTGTGTTTGTGTAATAATAATAATAATAATAATAATAAACGGTTTATTAAGAGAGTTGCAGCCGGTGGCTGAAAATATGCAAACTTACATGTGATTTAAACTTAATGATATGCGTTCAATACATTTACAGGGCTGTACAGGGCTGTGTGTGTGTGTGAAAGCTCATGATCATAGTGAAGGTTTACAGTTTTGTTAACGGGCAGATGACCGGACTCGTACCTGCAACTCACGGAGGTTAGAGAGGAGGTTGATGAGGAGGAGCAGGAGGAGGAAGGGGCAGAGAAGGGTTCACGTTAGTGTTGGTTGAGTCAGGACCTTGAAGGAGGAGGAAGAAGATAATAGAATATGAGGAAGAGGAAAGAAGAGGCTGGAGGAAAACGAAGGGAGAGGAAGTAATAGGAGGAGAAGGAGGAGGAGGAGAGGAAAACAGATAAGGGGTCAAGCTTGGTCATTTCTGGGTGTCAGGAATCCAGTCATGATTTTTTTTTTAACAAGTAGCTTCGGGGAATGTGTGTGTGTGTGTTCATGGGGGTATTTTATGTATTAGATAATTTTTCTCTAAGATATTTTTGTGTTTTCATTTTACGTATTGTTTTGGCAAGGTTAGATTAGGCTAGGTTAGATTAGGCTTGGTTAGATTAGGCTAGGTTAGCATTAGGTTAAGTTTGGTTATGTTAGCATTAGGTTAGGTTAGCATTAGGTTGAGATTGGTTATGTTAGCATTAGGTTAGGTTAGCATTAGGGTGTTTAATCATTAGGTCAGACTCTTCACAAACTTAGAGACGCGTTACGTAAGGTGATTGTATGGACAGTGGAAATTATCGTTACTGTCTGAGTGTTAGTTCCTAGTGTCTGGGATATAGGAATTCGTCTCATCATTCAATCATCAACCATCTTTACAGGTATTTCATCATCCTACCCACAATGCATCGCTCAAAATAAACGGTGACATCACGAAGGTCAGGCGGGCGTTTATCGTCTTGTGTGTGAAGTTGTCAAATGTGTGTTCCAGGATATAATAAACACAGTAATTTTTTAGTTAACAAAGATATTTATTTATTAGCTTTAGAATGGTGTTTATATTAAATGATGTATTCTTTATTTCAACAGATTCCGTGTTAACTCTTGTATTAGTGAGGTTATTGACGCGTTCGTGAGTATGATAATTTATAGATCACCTTCTGGCTAACTTTAATATGTCTTAAGAACTTTAGAACTTATATTAAACTCACTGAGGCTCATAATGTGTCGTTTTAGTAGCCAGTATATCTCTACCTTGTTAGTGGGTCAATCTAAAGCTTACGTTAATACTATGGTACACTAGATCGTCTCTTAGGAAGATATTGTCCTATACAGATCAGGTCACTTTTATGGAAAGTCTTCCGTCCTCCTCGTCTGTCTGGACAGTGGAGGTGAGGTGTTGGGGACTTCTTTCACCCCGAAGAATCTGTTCACTCCTGCTGGGGCGGCAGGTTTGGGTGGCGCTGTGGAGGTGGTGGGCGGGGAGGAGGAGGAGGTGGAGGAGGATGAGGAAGAGGAGGAGGAGGAGGATGAGGAGGACTGTGGGGGGTGGTAGTCATCTCTGGCGTAGTCCTCCTCCATGTCCACCCACTCCTCCTCCTGGAACACGGGAAACCCTCGGTCCGGTGTGCCGTAGTTTCCTGACAGAAAATCGGGATCGGTGTACCAGGCAGGGACGTAGTCGTCAGGGTCGGTGACTTCAGTCACGGGTAGAGCTGTTGTCTGAGGAGTTGCCTGGAGGTCTGGTGTGCTCCACACCTGCTGCAGGAGTGCCGCCGTGCAGGAGGGAGGCAGCGTCAGTGATATGCCACCGTCATTCATCAAGTTAAGAGGTACGGCGGACTTGACGCCGTTATCGTGACGAAGTTTGACGGAGCCGTTGATGACTCTGTGATCCAGGAGGGTCAGAAGGGCCTCGTGTAGGTTCAAGGACTGGATGATCTGTTCCTGGGCGTAACCCTTGAGGTCCTTGGCCGCCGTCACCAGCTGGTCTGCTGGCTCCTTCTGTCGTAGGTTGGTCCAATCTGTACTGACGAGTTCACTGGAGACACTGTCCATCCTCGCCTCCACCCCCTCTAGCCTCACCACCGTCCAGTTGGCCGCCTCCAAGGCATGAAGGATGACGTCCCTCACCTCGCCCAGCTTAGTGTTGGACTCGACTGGAAACTGCTGGTCGCTCCTCACCTCACTGTCCACCTCCTCAACCTAAGAGAACGTGACAGTAAGTAAACCATCGTCAACACAGCTCACACCTACAGCTCCTCCCCGCACTACCAGGACTGGTGGTGCTCACACTCGCCATCTGAACCTACAATAATGACTGTAATTGACGATACCTAACTTGAACAGACCTAACCTATCCTAACTTAAGAACACAAGAATGGAGGAAACGACCTAACCCCTAACCTAACCAAAACATTATAATTGTGAACTATTTGGACAAGGACTGTATATAGCTGGGGACTTACTAGGACTGGAAACTACCAGGGTACTCACCTGTACACCTGCCAGGGGGGTGACGGTGAGGGGGCTGCTGTTATCTCCCAGTCTCTCCACCACCTCCCTCAGCTCACTTAACTGCTGCCGATTCAACTGATGTCTGTTGGTAGAGAAAGAGATCACGTCAGTGGAACAGGGATGTCGTCAGACAGAGAGGTGACATTAGAGACACAGACAGACAGTATCAGCACACTGGATTGATAAAGGTCAGGTCAGCAACTCAACCCAGCTGAGTGAAATGATGTAGGTCGGCTCAGTGGAATGATAGAGGTCAAATCAGGTCAGGTCATTAACTCACCCCAGGTTAGGGAAATGAGGTTCAGCTGAGTGGAATGAAGATCAGATCAGATGAGGTCAAAACTCACCCCAGGTCAATGTTGGTGACCAGCTTGTCGAGTATCTCCGTGATCTTCAGCTCCAGGCTTGGTTCCTCGTTCTGTATCCTTTTACACGAGTCGATGAAGGCGTTCTGGGCGACCAAGACGGCGGTGTAGGAGTTCTCAACCAAGCTGCCCAGGTCTTGCATCTCCGTCACCAGTATCTGACCTGCAGGGAGGACCAGAGGCTATAAGGGGGTAAGGGGTGGGGATGGGGGGGGGGGACTATGTGTACGGTTGACCACTAGTGTTGTGTTTGTGTCTCTGTTTGCTAATAGTTCCCCTCAGCTCAATAAAACTTAAACAGAATAAGAATACTTAAGGGTCGTTCGTAGCCATGGAGGTATAAGGGACATGTTCGTAGTTCTCAGAAGGGTAAAGGTGTGATTGTATGTCAATTTAGTCAGGTAAGATAAATTGGATTTTTTGGGATCACCTAATTATTTGCCTCTCCCCCTCCCTACCACCACCACCACCACCCTCCCTACCACCCCCAAAGTAGCTTATTTCACCTGGTCATTAAACACATCCTTAATGCTAACCTAACCTATCCCAACCCAATCCAACCTTAAACCAACCCATCCTCAATCTACCCCTAACCCAACCTAACCCGAAATTTCCCAACCCAACCCAACCTAACCCAACCTAACCCGAACTTTCCCAACCCAACTCAGCCAACCAACCCAGCCAACCCAACCCAACCCAGCAACCCAGCCAACCCAACCCAACCCAACCCAACCAGCTAATCTAACCACACTGGATAGTATTAGAGTGGTTAATCTTCAAGTGAAAAAAACCTCTTGTGAATGAGGGGGGGCGGGGGCTGGTGATAAGGTTCCCGGTACACCAAGACCGGGATAACAGGCACCAAGCCCCCAGACGACGTACCGTGGTCTGGTTCTGTGTTCATCCGACGCAGCAGGACTGAGAACCTTTGGTGCAGCAGCTTCAGGAGGTCGACGCCCTCACTCGTCTGCTTCGTCAGTCCACGGCGGAGGTCTTCACTCTTCTTCAGCAGCGACTGTAGTAGATATTTCACCTGTGGGAGGAGGAGATAACACACTATATTTTATTTATTATAAAGACTGTAATTAACGCAGGTACTGGACTAACACCTGTAATTAACGCAGGTACTGGACTAACACCTGTAATTAACGCAGGTACTGGACTAACACCTGTAATTAACGCAGGTACTGGACTAACACCTGTTATTAACACAGGTACTGGCCTAACACCTGTAATCAACACAGGTACTGGACTAACACCTGTAATTAACGCAGGTACTGGACTAACACCTGTAATTAACACAGGTACTGGACTAACACCTGTTATTAACACAGGTACTGGACTAACACCTGTAATCAACACAAGTACTGGTCTAACACCTGTAATTAACACAGGTACTGGACTAACACCTGTAATTAACACAGGTACTGGACTAACACCTGTTATTAACACAGGTACTGGCCTAACACCTGTAATCAACACAGGTACTGGACTAACACCTGTAATCAACAGAAGTACTGGACTAACACCTGTAATCAACACAGGTACTGGACTAACACCTGTAATCAACACAGGTACTGGACTAACACCTGTAATCAACACAGGTACTGGACTAACACCTGTAATTAACACAGGTACTGGACTAACACCTGTTATTAACACAGGTACTGGCCTAACACTGTAATCAACACTACTGGACCAACACCTGTAATCAGCACAAGTGCTGGACTAACACCTGTAATCAACACAGGTACTGGACTAACACCTGTAATCAACACAGGTACTGGACTAACACCTGTAGTTAACACAGGTACTGGACTAACACCTGTAATCAACACAAGTACTGGACTAACACCTGTAGTTAACACAGGTACTGGACTAACACCTGTAATCAACACAGGTACTGGACTAACACCTGTAATCAACACAAGTACTGGACTAACACCTGTAATCAACACAGGTACTGGACTAACACCTGTAATCAACACAGGTACTGGACTAACACCTGTAATCAACACAGGTACTGGACTAACACCTGTAATCAACACAAGTACTGGACTAACACCTGTAGTTAACACAGATGCTGTACTAACACCTGTCCAGGGGCTAATATGGATTTACGTTATAGAGAAGACTAGATCACGTACATGATAAATAGGGGAGAATCAAGGACACGACGGACAAGGACAAAGAAAGGAGCAAGTACATGGCAACTAAGGGAGAATCAAGAACAGAGAAAGGAACAAGTACATGGCAACTAAGGGAGAATCAAGGACACAGCGAACAAGGACAGAGGGAGAATCAAGTACGTAGATACTAACCTCCAGGAGAGCGGCGACCGTGGTGGGGTCAGGGCACTGTAGGGCTTGGCTGTGTGTCTGTCTGTACCTTTCTCCTCCACCACCACCCCAGCCTGCAGGTAAACACGGGAGTCAGTGTGTGTGTGAGAGAGAAAGAGAGAGAGAGAGAGAGAGAGAGAGAGAGAGAGAGAGAGAGAGAGACTGACTTTACCGAATGAGTCGTGGGGCTTTCCAATTTAGTTCCTCTCTCTCCCTTTCTTTTTTCTTTCTCTTCCTTTCTTTTGTCTTTTCTCTCCATCATTCAATCTCTTTTCTCTCTATTTTGTCTTTTTTTATGTTTTTTATGTATTCTCTGTCTGTCTGTTTGTCTGTTTCTGTCTGTCGCTGTCTGTCTGTCTCTCTCTCTCTCTCTCCCAAGGTAAAAAAATATATATTATTTGCCGTACATTAACTCAAGCCTATAATGTGATTGTACAAGTTGGCAAGACACGACATTGCAAAGATTAAGTAACACATTGCAAGACAACCTGATAACAGACGTAGATCTTTAGATAGGAGAGAGTTAAATCATCGTAATCAAGGGGTTAAGTCATTGTAATCAAGGGGTTAAGTCATTGTAATCAAGGGGTTAAGTCATTGTGATCAAGGGGTTAAGTCATCGTAATCATGGGTATAAGTCATCGTAATCAAGGGGTTAAATCATCGTAATCAAGGGGTTAAGTCATCGTAATCAAGGGGTTAAGTCATCGTAATCAAGGGGTTAAGTCATCGTAATCAAGGGGTTAAGTCATCGTAATCATGGGTATAAGTCATCATAATCAAGGGTTAAGTCATCGTAATCAAGGGTTAAATCATCGTAATCATGGGGTTTAAGTCATTTGTAATCAGGGGTTAAGTGGGGTTAAGTCATCGTAATCAAGGGGTTAAGTCATCGTAATCAAGGGGTTAAGTCATCGTAATCAAGGGGTTAAATCATCGTAATCAAGGGGTTAAATCATCGTAATCAAGGGGTTAAATCATAGTAATCAAGGGGTTAATTTATCGTAACTCAATGGGTTAAGTTATCGTACTGTAGGATTTAAGTTATTGTACACTTGGTTTTAAATCGTCGTACTCAAGGTGTTAAATGAAGGTTGAACTCGAGGGGTGTGGTTAGGTTAGGTTAGGCAAGGTTAGGTTAGATTAGGTTAAGTTCGTCTAGGCTAGGTTAGGTTAGATCAGGTTAGGTTATATCAGGTCAGGTCTGGTTAGGTTAGATCAGGTTAGCTTATTTTAGGCTAGGTTAAGTCAGGTTAGGTCAAGTCAGGTTAGGTTAGGTTAGGTTTTATTAGAGTGGCTAATCTTCAGGTGAAATATCCTCTCTCACCTCTCCTCCGGGCGACCTCCTCCAGTAGGGTAACATTAAGACCTGCAGCGGCTTGGGCGATGCTCTGAACAACTGTGTGATTCATCTGCTGCAGGACTGGTCGAAGGCTGCTTAGTGACGGCGTCGTTCTGGGGGATACAAAGGACCTCTTATGTTTTACGAGGTGTTTAGGTGTACAGGTGTTATGGTGTACCGGTGTTAGGGTGTACAGGTATTAGGGTGTACCGGTGTTAGGGTGTACAGGTATTAGGGTGTACCGGTGTTAGGGTGTACAGGTATTAGGGTGTACCGGTGTTAGGGTGTACAGGTATTAGGGTGTACCGGTGTTAGGGTGTACAGGTATTAGAGTGTACAGGTGTTAGGTGTGTATAGGTGTTAAGGTGTACAGGTGTTATGGTGTACAGGTGTTAGGATGTACAGGTTTTAGTGGTGTACAGGTATTAGAGTGTACAGGTGTTAGGATGTACAGGTGTTAGTGGTGTACAGGCATTAGAGTGTACAGGTGTTAGGATGTACAGGTGTTAGTGGTGTACAGGCATTAGAGTGTACAGGTGTTAGGATGTACAGGTGTTAGTGGTGTACAGGCATTAGAGTGTACAGGTGTTAAGGTGTACAGGTATTAGAGTGTACAGGTGTCACGGTGTACTGGTGTTAGGGTGTACAGGCATTAGAGTGTACAGGTGTTAGGATGTACAGGTGTTTGGGTGTACAGGCGTTAGAGTATACAGGTGTTAAGGTGTACAGGTGTTAGAGTGTGAGTGTACAGTACAGGTGTTACGGTGAAGGAAAGTTAGTACGGATGTTTACTTACAGACGACTAGAAAAGTCCGGTAACGGCCACAAAAGTCCGGTAACGGCCACGAAAGTCCGGTAACGGCCACAAAAGTCCGGTATCGACCTGCTCACCATAGACAATATCAAGGTTCCAGTAGTTTAAAACCTCGTATGGCTACAGAGCGGACAGACGGTTACCGGATTTTTGTAGATGACTGTACTAAAAATTGTTGTACTGTATTTTGATCCTGTGTACTATTTGTGTACTTTGTGCTTTGTGCAATATTATATGACTTAATATTTGTGCACTGAGAGAGAGAATGACAGACAGACAGAGACTATCAGACAGACGTACGTGGTGATCTTGTAGGACAGGTCTTGATGTACGGACTGAATCTTGTTCTTGATGTCAGTGACGGCATCGTGGGTCGTCTTACCGTCTCGTTGTATATCTTGCCTCGCCTGCGCCGCCGCCGTCAGCGTCTGTGTACCCAGGTCCTCTAGTTCCTCTCTCGTCTCTCTCACCTCCTCCTGAAGCTCCCCCACACTCTACCCCACCAGGAAGATGAGAGAGGTATTATAGTAAGGAGGTCTTTAAACAACACACACACACACACACACACTCACACACACACACTCACACACACACACACACACACACACACACACACACACACACACACACACACACTCACACTCACACACACACACACACACACACACACACACACACACACACACACACACACACACACACACACACACACACACACACACACACACACACACACACACACACTCACCTTACTAATCTTCTTGTAGAGTGTGTCGTGGAGTGTGTTGAGGGCTTGGTCCAGTAAGCGAGGTAGAGTGCGTTCCACATACTCATTGACCTTCCGAGAAATCTGTACACACACACACACACACACACACACACCGCCGCGCGAAGTGTGTGTGTGGGAGAGAGAGAGAGAATGAATGAGAGAATGAAAGTTAGATTGGTAAAAAAAAAGCGATGGTTCATTTTTTGGTTTAATACTTTATTATTTTTTTTAACGACCACAAGACAGACAGACAGTAAGGCTGGTGGACAGAAAGATAGAAAGACAGGCAGTGACAGTAATTCAGATAGAGAAAGAGAGAGAGAGAGAGCACCACTACACAACTTGGAGATAATAAAAGAGATATCTCGCTTAGTGTCTCTCGTATGTCCAGGTGAAAGTAACCGAGAGACAGTGTGGAGATCGCATGTTGTACCCCGTGAGAGCTGATAATAGGGGGGTAGGGGAAGGGGTAGGAGGGGAGAGGAAGGATTTAAGAGGGAGGAGAGGAGGTGGGGTTAGGGGGAAGAGGTTTGGAGGGGAGGAGGTGGATAGGGAGGGTTTAGGAGGAGGATGGGGGTAGTATGAAGGGGTTAGGAGGAGAGGAGGTGGATAGGGAGGGTTTAGGAGGAGGATGGGGGTAGTAGGAAGGGGTCAGGAGGGGAGGAGGTAGAGAGGTGTACAGGTGATATTTTTTCTCTATTATTGAGAAATAAGTTTTTGCTTTCGTGTTTCAATTATCTGTGAAGAGAACAAACTGTCTCTCACTGTCTCACTCAGTACGTCTCACTATCTCTCACCATGTCTTATTATCTCTCACCATGTCTTATTATCTCTCACCATGTCTTATTATCTCTCACCATGTCTCACTATCTCTCATTTCAGCTTCTATAACCCAGTAATCTAATTGTAATCTTCCCTACTATACGTTATTTATAAGTGAAAAATACGTAATCTCGCTCTGTGTGTGTGTGTGTGTGTTTTTATGTCTGTATGTAGGTGTGTCTGTCTCTCATCTCTGTCTCTCTCTCTCTCTCTCTCTCTCTCTCTCTCTCTCTCTCTCTCTCTCTCTCTCTCTCTCTCTCTCTCTCTCTTTGTTTGTTTCACCTTCTGTCTGTCATATTCCTCTGTGTCTGTCTCTGTCCATGTCTGTCTATTTCTGTCCTATCTCTCTTTGTCTGTCTGTTTTTTTCTCTCGTACAGATAAAACAAGCGTAGAGAGAGAGAGAGAGAGAGAGAGAGAGAGAGAGAGAAGTAGTACATCACTTTTGTACTGTAAACACATGGAAGCTTGTTTACCTACCCATCATTGTTTACACACATGAGATGTCTGCTTTCAGTGGACAGTATTGTGTGTAAACAGTGAGAGGTCACGGTAGTAAACAAACACGACGTAAATTAATGTTTTTCTCTCGTGTAGGGACAAGTCACCTGCCGTAGATACCTGTGTGTTGTACTGTGGTGGTCATTATTCCCTGAACACTTTGGTTTATTTTATCGGTTTGGTTTAGGTTTGGTTTAGGTTGGGTTGGGTTTGGTTTAGGTTGGGTTTGGTTGGGTTGGGTTTGGTTTGGTTTAGGTTTGCCAGGCTTGTTTTAGGTTTGGTTGGGTTTGGGTTAGGTTACATTAGGTTAGGTTAGGTTTGGAGATGAATTCTGTTTATTATAGTAAATTATATCAAAATAATAACATATTTACCACCTCACTAACGCGAAAGATAGAGGAAAATATACTATGTGTCCCTCACTTCCCTCACCCCGACTTTCCTCACCTCCCTCACTTCCCTCATCTCCCCTGACTTCCTTCACCTCCTCACCCTGACCTCTCTCACCTCACTTCCCCTCATCTCCTGACTCTCTTCACCCTCCTCACCCCGACTTTCTCACTCCTCACTTCCCTCATCTCCCTGACCTCACCCTCCCCTGACCTCCCTCACTTCCCTCACTCCCTTCACCTCCTGACCTCCCTGACCTCCCTGACCTCCATGGCCCTCAAGTACATGGTGCCAGACGGTGCCACTAGTGTCCAGGGAATATTGTCCACAACTGTACACTGAACACATCGTTACAGGTACAGTACATGAATACTAATAACAGTTACAGTAAAGAGACAGTATAAGTAATAGGTAATGACCAGGTGACAGGTACTTTACCTCAGGTGGTGCAGACGGGTAGAAAGGTGAGAGAAAAATAGAGAGGTAGAGGCAGAGGTAGAGGTAGCGAGATAGAGAGGTAGAGGCAAAGAGACAGAGAGGTAGAGGTAGCGAGATAGAGAGGTAGACTAAAGAGACAGAGAGGTAGAGAAGGAGATAGAGAGGTAGAGGCAAAGAGACAGAGAGGTAGAGGTAGAGAGGTACCGTGGTAGACAGGAGGTTGATGTCGGAGACCTGGCTGTCACTCCAACTTGACCTCGTGTCGTGTCTTGACCCGCCTCCACCGTCTACCCGGGAGTCGAGGCGCTCCAGGTGTGTGGCCATCCCCGTGGTGGTGGTGGTGGTGGTTAGTGGTGGTGGTGGTGGTGGTTAGCAGGAAGTGGTGGTGGTGGTTAGTGAGGTGGTGGTGGTGGTGGTTAGTGAGGTAGTGGTGGTGGTGGTTTAGTGAGGTGGTGGTGGTGGTGGTTAGTAGAGAAGATAAACCTAGATTAAACAACTGACCCTACTAATATACCTGTAGAACCCCACTAATACACCTGTTGGACCCTAGTTATGCCTGTAGGACCCCACTAATATACCTGCAGGACCTTAATTAATATACCTGTAGGGACCCTAATTAATATACATGTAGGACCCCTTAATTATACCTGTAGGACCCTAATTAATATATCTGTAGGACCCTAATTAATATACCTGTAGGACCCTACTAATATACCTGTGAGACCCTATTTAATATACCTGTAGGACCCTAATTAATATACCATGACCATACTATATCTGCAGGATAGCTAATAGGCACTGTTGGACCCTAGTTATCTTAGGACCCTAAGTTATACCTGTAGGACCCCTAGTTATACCTGTAGGACCCTAGTTATACCTGTAGGACCCCTAGTTATAAATCACCTGTAGGGACCCCAGTTATACCTGTAGGACCGTTATACCTGTAGGACCCTAGTTAAGGCCTGTGGGACCCTAGTTAAGGCCTGGGACCCTAGTTATACCTGTAGGATCCTGTTATACCTGTAGGACCCCTAGTTATACCTGTAGGACCCTAGTTATACCTGTAGGGACCCTAAGTTATACCTTAGGATCCTAGTTATACCTGTAGGACCCTAGCAAGCTATACCTGTAGGACCCTGTTATACCTGTAGGATCCTAGTTATACTCTGTAGGACCCTAGTTATACCTGGGACCCTAGTTATACCTGAAATGCTAGTTATGGCCTGTAGTGGACCCTAGTTATACCTGGTAGGACGCTAGTTATACCTGTAGGACCCTAGTTATACCTGTGTAACTCCAGTTATACCTGTAGGACCCTAGTTATACCTGTAGGACCCAGCTATACCTAGGACCCTAGTTATACCTGTAGGAATCTAGTTATACCTGTAGGACCATGAGCTATACCTGTAGGACCCTAGTTATACCTGTAGGACGTTAGTTATACCTGTAGGACCCTAGTTATACCTGGGGACCCCTAGCTATACCCAGGACGCTATTTATACCTGTAGGACCCTAGTTATACCTGTAGGACCCTAGTTATACCTGGGTAGGACCCTAGTTAAGTACCTGTAGTGGACCATATTTATTTATACCTGTAGGACCCAGTTATACCTGTAGGACCCCTAATTAATATATCTGTAGGACCCCATCAATATACCTGTAGGACCCCACTAATATACCTGTGAGACCCTATTTAATATACCTGTAGGACCCTAATTAATATACCTGTATGACCATAATTATATTCGCAGGATAATAATATATACCTGTTGGACCCTAAGCTATACCTGTAGGACCCAGGTTATACCTTGTAGGGACCCTAGTTACCTGTAGGACCCTAGTTGCGCCCTGTAGGACCCTAGTTATACCTGTAGGACCCCAGTTATACCTGTAGACCCTAGTTATACCTGTAGACCCTAGTTAAGTACCTGTAGGACCCTAGTTATACCTGTAGTGATCCTAAGCTAGCCTGTAGGACCCTAGTTATACCTGTAGGACCCTAGTTATACCTTGTAGGACCCTAGTTACCTGTAGTGACCCCCAGTTATACCTGTAGGACCCTAGCTATACCTGTAGGACCCTAGTTAGCCTGTAGGGATCCTAGTTATACCTGTAGACCCTAGTTATACCTGTAGACGCTAGTTATACCTGTAGGACCCTAGTTATACCTAGACCCTAGTTATACCTGTAGACCCCTAGTTATACCTGTAGGACCCCTAAGCTATACCTGAATCTCTAGTTAAGGCCCTGTAGGACCCTTAGTTATACCTGTAGGACCCCTAGTTGCCTGTAGGGACCCTAGTTATACCTGTAGGGACCATATTTATGTCTGTAGACCCTAGTTATACCTGTAGGACCCAGTTATGGCCCTGTAGGACCCTAGTTATACTGTAGGGACCCCTAGTTATACCTGTAGGACGCTAGTTATACCTAGGACCTATTTATACCTGTAGGACCCAGTTATACCTGTAGGACCCTAGTTATACCTGTAGACCCTAGTTATACCTGTAGGACCCTTTTTATACCTGTAGGGACCCTAGTTAAGGCCTGTAGGACCCTAGTTATACCTGTGGACCCCTAGTTATACCTGTGACCCTTTTATACCTGTAGGACCCTAGGTTATACCTGTAGGACGTTAGTTATACCTGTGGACCCTAGTTATACCTGTAGGATCCTAGTTATACCTGTAGGACCCTAGTTATACCTGTAGGACCCTAGTTATACCTGTAGGATCCTAGTTATACCTGTAGGACCCTAGTTATACCTGTAGGACCCTAGTTATACCTGTAGGATCCTAGTTATACCTGTAGGACCCTAGTTATACCTGTAGGACCCTAGTTATACCTGTAGGATCCTAGTTATACCTGTAGGACCCTAGTTATACCTGTAGGACCCTAGTTATACCTGTAGGACCCTAGTTATACCTGTAGGAGCCTAGTTACACCTGTAAGACCCTAGTTATACCTATAGGATCCTAGTTATACCTGTAGGACCCTAGTTATACCTGTAAGACCCTAGTTATACCTGTAGGATCCTAGTTATACCTGTAGGACCCTAGTTATACCTGTAGGAGCCAAATTAATATACCTGAAGATCCCTGTTGGTGATACTGATGGTGGAGCGTAGGGAGGAGGACTCGAGGGTGAGGCGGGAGTCGAGAGCGTCCACTTTCTCCACCAGGGTGTCCACTTTGTTGAGGCGGGAGGACAGTGTGTCTATCAGCATCTCCTGTAATGGTGGATCTTACTTAAAACTTTCTGTATATTACTTAAAACTTTCTGTATTTTACTTAAAACTTTCTGTATATTACTTAAAACTTTCTGTATTTTACTTAAAACTTTCTGTATTTTACTTAAAACTTTCTGTATATTACTTAAAACTTTCTGTATATTACTTAAAACTTTATGTATTTTACTTAAAACTTCTGTAACTTTACTTAAAACTAATAGATCCTAGTACTAATATGACTTGAAGACGCTAGTTAAGAGGGGGGGGGACCTGGTTAGTTAAGAAAGACCTGGAGATAGGACCTGAAGATGTTCGTTAAGGGGGGAGGGGCGACCTGGAGACGTTAGTTAAGAAAGACCTGGAGATAGGACCTGAAGATGTTCGTTAAGGTGGACCTGGAGGCGTTAGTTAAGAAAGACCTGGAGATAGGACCTGAAGATGTTCGTTAAGGAGGACCTGGAGAGAGAGGACCTGGAAAAAGGACCTGTTACTCACCCCTTTAGTGGCTGCATCTGTGAGCCTCATAAGTCGCGACTCGATATTGACCTCCAGGGTGGCGAGCCTCTGAGTCAGCTGCGTCACTGCCTGGCTTAGTTCCAGCATTCCCTCCACGCTGCCTCGGGACACACTCTGTAATGTAAGGTGGCTGTATTGTCTCGTAATGAGTTGTCCACGCCTTCTTGCGCCGTACACACACTGTACTTCCAGTGCATAATAATAATAATAATTATAATAATAATAATAATAATAATAATAATAATAATAATAATAATAATAATAATTTTAATAATAATAATAAAACGCTCATTAAACCGTCAAGAACAGTGAACGCCGTCTTAAGGGGGAAGGAGAGGGGGTGTCATACTCCCGTGAGGATATGAACGGATCTCAGTACATGTGAGAAAACCCGCGACATCCACCACTTTGTCAACACTGTGGCTCCTGTCGTCAGTCTAGTGCATGCACTCAGGAGGGACTTGATTGCGTCTCGTGTTGACATAAACACTTTGTATGATATTGATTACGTGTGGCTTTAAATAGGTTAATAAGTGGCGTTGAGAGAGAGAGAAAGAGAGACAGAGAATTAACCTTGTCACTGCCTCAACTTTATAGAGGTATGTTAATTAATTCTCAGGTAAAATATCTTAAGGTACAATTTAGTTACATGGTAGGGCTCTCTTTTTCCCTCCCCTTCTTCTGTCCCCCCTCCCTCCCTCCCTTCCCTTCTCTCCCCCTTCCTCCTTCCCTCCCACCTACCCCCTCCCCCCTCATTCCCTCGTAGAAGTGGTTGTGTGTTACAGCGATTGAGACTTTCTGAGAACTGCCATTAATATTTTGTATTGTAAACCTGTTGTGAAGGTTGAGAGCTAACATAAAAACTTGACTTCTCTGGTGTTGATGTAATAACTCGTATTGCTACATGGGTGCATAGATAGATAGATATAAATAATAATAATTACACGAAGACTATTACTACTACTACTACTACTGCTACTACTACTAACTACTACTATCGCACTACTGATAATGATAATCAACATTAACAACTATATTTCAGAATTTGCTCATACAAATCCTTACTTTATCAAAACCTCAACCCCTTCATAAGATAAACACAACCGCCGTCAAGTCAGTGAAGGTGGACACTAAGTTAATTTCACCCAGGCAATGATCACTCTACGATGTCTCAAGAATCGGGTTGTTTTTCTTGTATCAAATGTTGTGTTAAAGTTGTGAGCGGAGATGAGAGATCGTATCGTGTAATTGACTTAAGCAACACGGTGTGGGGCTCATGTCAAGTGGCTGGGTAAATAAATAGATGGGGGGATACAGAGAGAGAGAGAGAGAGAGAGAGACCTTGGTTTGGGTGAGGGGTCGTGTGCTGCTTCTGAGGTGAGGGGTCGTGTGCTGCTTCTGAGGTGGGGTGAGGGGTCGTGTGCTGCTTCTGATGTGGGGTGAGGGGGTCGTGTGCTGTGAGGTGGGGTGAGGGGTCGTGTGCTTCTTCTGAGGTGGGGTGAGGGGGTCGTCTGCTGCTTCTGAGGTGGGGTGAGGGGGTCGTGTGCTGCGTGGTGGAGGGTTACGTGGTAGAAGATGGAGAGTCGTTTGCTGAAGGGTGGAGAGTCATATGGTGTGGTAGAGAGTCGTGTGGTGTGATCAAGAGTCGTGTGGTGTGATCAAGAGTCATGTGGTGTGGTGTAGAGTCATGTGGTGTGGTGTAGAGTCATGTGGTGTGGTGGAGAGTCATGTGGTGTGGTAGAGAGTCGTGTGGTGTGATCAAGAGTCATGTGGTGTGGTGTAGAGTCATGTGGTGTGGTGGAGAGTCATGTGGTGTGGTGGAGAGTCATGTGATGTGGTAGAGAGTCGTGTGTACTAGCGTGGCACCGACAGCTTCACCATCAACACCCTGGCGCCACCTCCTCCCTGCACGCCGCTGAGTGTAAGTGTCGCCTCTCCTTGTAGTATATTTAAAAGGATAAAAAAAAGAGGTAATTCATCTCACTTGTTGTTAGATACGACGTGACGCTGCAGGAGAGCTGGCGGGCCTTAGTGCAGGGAGCTGGTCAGGGTGATCTTAATTCATATATGTAAGACTCCTACTACCAGTCTCCCTTCTCTCCCTCTCCACCCCCACCTCCCCTCTCTCACCCTCACTCTCTCCTCTCACCCTATCCCTTCCTCTCACCCTCATTCCTTTCCTCTCACCCTCATCCCTTCCTCTCACCCCTCATCCTTTCCTCTCACCCTCATCCCTTTCCCCTCACCCTCATCTCATCCCTCACCCCTTTCCTCTCACCCTCATTCCTTTCCTCTCACCCTCATCCCTTTCCCATCACCCTCATCCCTTTCCCTTACCCTCTCTTCCTTCTCCCCTCATCCCTTTCCTCCTTATCCCCCCAATAATAACAGTGCACGAGGAGTCAAGTGTATCCGGTAGTGCACTCGACCGCCTTTACATCCCCAACTGTAAAATTAGGCACCCTTTTACAGCTGGGTGGGCTGGGGGTGGGGGGGGGTGGTGCCCTTGGCGTGAACCAGACCCCTTTTTGGACAGGTGGTGAGCGCTGTCTCCTCTCGGCCACTGCACTCGTCTCCTTATCCTACCTTGGCATTATTATTCACTGTGATGATGAACCCTCAGCCTCCACATACCTGATCTCTCTCTCTCTCTCTCTCTCTCTCTCTCTTTCAGGTGACTCAAATTAATCACATGAAAATTACCTATCCTAGATTATTTCATGTTAAGTATGGTTAGGTTGGGTTAGGGTAGGTTGGGTTAGGTTTGGTTAGGTTAGGTTTGGTGGGGTTAGTTTTGGTGGGGTTAGGTTAGGAGGGGGTTAGGTTTGGTGGGGTTAGGTTGGGTTGCTGTTAAGATGGGTTTGATTAAAGTTAGGTTGGCGTTAAGGTGGTTAAATTATCAGGTGTAATAAACTGGGGTGTTAAATCTCTCTCAGGTGATCAGAGCAGACTTCATCCTCTTGTAGATCTGAGACACTTGTGTGAGTTGCAGTAGTCTGGTGTGTCAGAAGAGAGGAATAGTGGGGGGGAGGGAGGAATGTGGGAGGGAAGGGAAAATACATGGGAGTGGGGGGAAGAGGAAGAGGGAGGGAGGGTGGCGGTAGGAGGGAGAGAGTAAGAGAGTGAGTGAGGGAGGGAGGATAGCCAGACGGCCTCATTAGTGGTTGTAACGCTCACCACACATCACCCAACACACGCCTCCAATTTGTGCCTCACCGCCGCCCGTGTGTGTGTGTGTGTGTGTGTGTGTGTGTGTGTGATTCTGTCTGATGATAACACAACGACAGCAGACACACCATTAACCGAGTGCTCGATAATATTGTTGTTATACTATAAAACGAGAGAGAGAGAGAGAGAGAGAGAGAGAGAGAGAGAGAGAGAGAGAGATACGACATTTGTAACGTAAAACCAAACCACCCCCTGACCCACCACTCCAAGGTCTGGCACCAGTGTCTTGTCCTATCACCACAACACCCATCTGAGGCTCGATTGGTCTGTCATCAGTGTCTTGTCGTTTCCTCACAACATCTTGATACAATTCCTAATTATGAGCACTTAATATCTTTGATGTGTAGTGGAGGAAGAGGAGGAGGTGGTGGTGGTGGTGCAGGGAGAAGAGGAGGAGGAGTTGGTGGAGGGAGAAGAGGAGGGGTGGTGGTGGTGGAGGGAGAGGAGGAGAAGGAGGAGGAGGTGGTGGTGGTGGAGGGAAAGAAGGAGAAGGAGGAGGAGGGGAGAAGTAGAAGGAGAAAGGGAGGAGGAGGATGATGGATATAAATGAAAAGTTAAAGTAATTTTTGTCCGCATTTTCGCTAATGATGGTTAAAAAGAGGATGATAATAACGGTGATGGTGATGATGGAGTCCTGTCATCCTTCACCATCATCATCCATCTTCATAAGTCACCATCACCATCATAATCACCCATCATCATAAGTCAGCAGAGACACCTTGAGAAGGAAGACTAAACTGGTTCTTATTAATTTTGTTTGTTTTTAAAATTGACTTCTCAAATCTATCTTATGTAATATAATCCGACATAACCCCTCATAATCTGGCATAATCTGGAATGATCTGGCATAATATTCCCTTATTTAACATTTTAGTAAGTAATATTATCTTCCGAAGGTTCGTGTTGGTTGAGTCTTCGGTATGATTTAAATTGGTCTTAGTGTAGTGATATTAATATTTGGTTTAGTCTTCCCTCGAATAGTTTTTTATGTTGATGTATGTATAGAAAACAGTTATGACGAGGGGTAACTATAGGATTTACCTCCTCTATCCTGTATACACTTTTGATGTTGTTGCAGAGCTTCAACAACTAAGGTTTTTAATTGATTAGGTGAGGTGAGGTTGGTGGAGGAGAGGCAGGTGGTGAGGTGAGATGTGTGGAGGAGAGGCAGGTGGTGAGGTGAGGTTGGTAGAGGAGAGGCAGGTGGTGAGGTGAGGTGTGTGGAGGAGAGGCAGGTGGTGAGGTGTGTGGAGGAGAGGCAGGTGGTGAGGTGTGTGGAGAGAGGCAGGTGGTGAGGTGAGGTGTGTGGAGGAGAGGCAGGTGGTGAGGTGTGTGGAGTGAGAGGCAGGTGGTGAGGTGAGGTGTGTGGAGGTGGGAGGAGGTGGTGGGTGGGTGGAGGTGGTGGTGAGGTGAGGTGGGTGAAGGAGAGATGGGTGGAGAGGCGAGGTGTGTGGAGGAGGCAGGTGGTGAGGAGGTGTGTGGAGGAGAGGCAGGTGGTGAGGGGAGGTGTGAGAGAGAGCAGGTGGTGAGGTGAGGAGGTGGGTGGTGAGGTGAGGTGTGTGGAGGAGAGGCAGGTGGTGAGAGGCAGGTGGTGAAGGGGGTGTTCTAGGAACCATGAGAAAGGGTGATGTCAGAGTGAGTGACAGAAATAGTTTATTTACACTTAAGCTGGAGCACTGAAACTGTAAACAAAAACAATAACAACTGCAATGGACAATAAACAACAACAACATGAACTGTAAAGAACAACAATAACAAATGCAATGAGCAAATAACAACAATACCAACTGCGATAAACAACAACAATAACAACTGAAATTAACAAAAAAATAACAATGAAAAACAACAACAATAACAACTGCTCTGGAAAGGGTCGCTTATTGACACCCGGAGGACTACGGCTCGACCCAGCTGTGGATGGGGTTGTGGAGGTGGACGAGTGACGTGCAGTACCGGCCAGACAGTCTCCTTGTGTACCGAGTGTATAGTAGACACCGTATTGTGTCCTCACTGGTCACGGTGGGGGGAACTCACTTTCATGATAGATAGATAATTGGGTGACTTTAGTTCATTGTGATGTTACGTTTATACTGAGATGCTGAGGGAAAGTCATTGGGTGTGTCTGGGAAGTGCAGTACATCCGGACCCAGGGAGGTGGTGGTGGTGGCGAGGGAGATTTGGTGGGGGTGATGAGGGTGATGCTGGTGGTGGCGAGGTGGTGGTGGTGGTAAAGGAGATGTAGTGGTGAGGGTGGTGCTGGTGGTGGTGAGGGTGGAGATGCTGGTGGTGGTGAGGGAGATGGTGGTGGGGTGGGATGAGCAACAGTCGTGGTGGTGTGTGAGGTAGTAGGAGGCTGAGACGGGCGTCTGTGTGGGACCCTTGTCATAACAACCACTGCCTAGACTGGGGAAACTACCACACACACACACACACACACACACACACACAGAGTCAAACCGGTGTACTGTTGTGTTAATATTGACAATAAACGTCGATATTAGATGACCATACACTTTGACCTATAAAAACTTTTGACCAAGACAGAGATAATAATTTAAGCAAATTGATGATATGAATATCAGCCTTTATTATTATTATTATTATTATTATTATTATTATTATTATTATTATTATTATTATTATTATTATTATTATTATTATTATTATTATTATTATTATTATTATTATTTTTATTATTATTATTATTATTATTATTATTATTATTATTATTATTATTATTATTATTATTAAAACTGATATAGAGACCCTGATAAAGTCAAAGGAGAAACGTTGAAACAGACACAGCATAAGCTGAACCTTACCATAGTGTAGCTGGGACAAGACACCATCACTAGGAGGACTAAGATGGATTGGAGGAGAGAGAGACCCCTGCTCCTCTCCCCCACTGCTGCCGTCACCGCCATCCTCTTCAACACGGGAGAACTACCTGACGAAGGAGTATTTCCCTGGCTTCTGTTCCTGACGTCTACTACACACCCTCAGAAGTTTACGATAAGTTGGATAGTGTTCGTGGTCACTTAGTAGTTGAGAATACGTTACTAACTCTACGGCAACTCTCGCTGGTGGGGGTGATGTCCTCTGTTGTAGTTACTCCGTCAGGAACTTAACACCGTCTGGAGGTCTTTGATCACAGAGATAACATACGGCATATCATTACTTAACAGTCACTTATGTCATCTAAAAGTTAATGGGCTTTTTCACTCCACATCTGCTGTCACTGACCGGAGTTATGAGTTGGCATGTAAGAAATGGAACCCGGAGTTAATATCATGAATAACGTCAATATAATAAAAAAGACAAGAATAATAAGCCACTCAAATCAACTTACACAACTAACGTGATAAAGTTCTTCAATATAAACATAGCGTAATATTTTATCAAGTTTTCCTGTAGAGTTTTTTTAATGGCGGTGCGTTTATTTTTTTTGCCGGTCGTCTTTTGTTTTCAACTTGAGCGTCTTGGCCGTGATCTGAGCTTGAAGAAAACGTCTTACTTTTCATGGAATACCTTAGGCACTTTATAATGTGGTTTTTATCTCCTCCACCATATGTTCACTGTTGGAGCGATGGTGAGTATTGTTGGAGCGATGGTGAGTATTGTTGGAGCGATGGTGAGAATGTTAATGGGTTTCAACACATATCTCATAGGATACTTGACGCCCTAAAGCAGCACTCACTCGTAGTCACCGTCAAAGGTATCATGTAGAATTCATAAGTTTCTTTACATCATCAAGACAAATCCTGTAGAGAATACCATCTTCCTTTGGTCTTCACGGCTGTAGCACAAGATTTCGTTCACTTTTAGTCTCTACAAATAAAATAAAATACTGTACACTGAATCTGCTTTTAAAATCTTCTCCTTAAAATTCTGAAGAAGTTTGATAGTTTTAGGAAAGTCTCGAGCCTGCTGGTGTGGTGGTCCTCACAAGACACAACACAACGTCATGAGTTATATTACTGTCTCTCACACACGAGATGTCTCCACTGTATCTCTTGAGTTGTGGGAGTGCCTCAAGTTCAGTTGATCTTCACAATATGTGCTCAATGGTTGGTATCAGTCGATTTCTCATAACCTGTTCTCAGTTCATTAGTTACGAGTTTTTGTGATTTCAGTAGAATGGATCAATTCAGTTTACTTTTTTTGTTTTTCAGTAGATAATATATACCTACAGGTTCAGTAAGTGTATCCGAATCACTGAAGGCTGTTTTGGATTTAAGGTGATCTCTCAGTTAACTATGAAGAGAGTCCTATGTTTCCAGTAAACTTCCAAGACGGGGCAGCGGGCAGGTAGGTAGGTAGATAGGTCCAACAGATGCCCAGGTGGCGAGAGGGGTAGTTGCTAGGTACACACGTTGGTCGGTGTGACTGGTGAGGGGACGTGATGTGTGAGGAGGAGATGGAACCGCGTGCCCGCCCCTTGTCGACCGCCCAGGACAACTGCCTCACCTCAGCGCTTGAATGGCTTGATGCCCGACCCTGCCCCCTCCGTTGTCTACTTGGGGGCATGACACATTTTTACGGTGTCCTCAGTGTGTCCAGGGTGTCCTCAGTGTGTCCAGGGTGTCCTCAGTGTGTCCAGGGTGTCTTCAGTGGGTCCAGGGTATCCCCGTTGTGTCCAGGGTGTCCCCAGTATGACCAGGATGTCCCCAGAATGTGCGGGGTGTAATTGTAGCACTCGTATACACTGTAACACTATTATCTACAGTCATCCAAAAAAAGTTCTCGAATGGTTAAGTGTTATACAATATGACGGAACGACCGAGAAATCCGAACATTGCTCCCTGAAGAAGTTGTATTGCATATTTAATGACCTTTCTTCATTTGTAAATACTATAAAGACGAGCATCATATATTATTGCGAAATATTGAGAGTCACTTCACAACCAGGCGTACCAACCATTCTGAGATGACACCAGCCATAGTGTTCATTCTGAAATCTGTCTTGACCAGCTGTTCCACAACCATTTTTGCCCACTGTATCACCGTATCTCGAGAGCAATAGGTGTACGGAACTAATTAACGAAATTGAACCGTCATTATTATTATTATTATTATTATTATTATTATTATTATTATTATTGTTGTTGTAACTGTTCTTATTGTTATTGCAGTGTGTGTGTGTGTGTGTGTGTGTGTGTGTGTGTGTGTGTGTGTGTGTGTGTGTGTGTGTGTGTGTGTGTGTGTGTGTAGGTATAATTTATGTGTGTAAGGGGGAGGTATTGAGTTGTTGTAGGAAGGTGGGTGGTGGAAGGTGGGTGGTGGAAGGTGGGTGGCTGATGGGTGGTTGGTCGCGGGCGGCAACATCTAGGGGCGGCCGCCAATGTATGTTTACCTGAGTCAAGTAGCAGTACCTGGGCTCAGTAACCTGCCCCCCCTCCTTCCTTCTCTCCCCCCACCCCTCTCTGTGTCTTCTTCGCTCCTCGCCTCTTCCTCCCCTTTTTCCTCCTCTCTTCTCTTCCCTCCCCCTCTCCTCCCTCCCCCCTTCCTCCCCTCCCCCTCTTCTTCCTGCCTCCACCTCTCTCTCTCTCTCTCTTCCCTCCCTCCACCTCTCCTCTCTCTTCTGCTCAGGTCTTCCTCCTCCTCTTCTCGCTCTTCCCATAGCTGACTAACTTATCCACATACTCACACCAGACTACACCCACACCTGACTACACCCACACCAGACTACACCCACACCTGACTACACCCACACCAGAGTACACCCACACCTGACTACATCCACACCAGTCTACACCCACACCAGACTACACCCACACCTGACTACACTCCACACCAGACCACACCCACACCAGACTCACACTCCCCACATCTGACTACACCCACACCAGAGCACACTCACACCTGACTACATCCACACCAGTCTACACCCACACCAGACTACACCCACACCTGACTACACCCACACCAGACTACACCCACACCAGAGTACACCCACACCCTGACTACATCCACACCAGTCTACATCCACACCAGTCTACACCCACACCAGACTACACCCACACCAGACTACACCCACTGACTACCCCACACCAGACTACCCCCCACATCTGACTACACCCACACCAGACTACACCCACATCTGACTACACCCACACCAGACTACACCCACCCCAGACTACACCCACACCTGACTACATCCACACCAGTCTACACCCACACCAGACTACCCCCACCCCAGACTGCACCCACACCAGACTACACCCACACCTGTGTAGTCTCATTGTATTACTTTTAATGTGAAAAAAAAATACTCTGTTTGACCACAACCTAAACTGTTTCCTCAGCCTGCGACCTATCAGTACTGGGGCCTACGTGTACTGGTACTTACCTGTACTGGGACCTACTAGTACTTGGGACCTACTATTACTGGGACCTGCTAGTACTGGGACCTCCTAGTACTGGGACCTACTAGTACTGGGGCCTCCTAGTACTGGGACCTACTAGTACTTGGGATCTTTAAGTACTGGGACCTACTACTACTACTTGGACCTGCTAGTACTGGGACCTACTATTACTGGTACCTACTAGTACTTGGGATCTTCAAGTACTGGGACCTACTACTACTACTTGGACCTGCTAGTACTGGGACCCATCTACGACCAGGCAGCAACAGACACTATGTACAGACACAACCATTGACTCTACTAACTTATTCCCACAAAAAGCTGTGAGACTAGAGTGAGGGCCAGCAACATCCACCACCACAAGCCAGCCATCCAACAGAGAGTTCCTGTGTGTGAGTGGCGGCGCGGATATCCCCTCCCTCCAACCCTCCCTTCTTCCCCTCCCTTCTTTCTTCCCCCTCCCTTCCTTCTTCCCTTCCCTCCCCTCCATCCCCTCCTTTACAACCAACACTATCTCCACCACCTTCTACCTCCTCCTCTTTCTCCTCCTTCTTCCTTCTTCACAATCACCAACACTTCCTCCTTCTCTTTCACCTCCTCCACTAACCCCCCCTTTCCCCCCTCTCCACTAACCCCCCCTCCTGTACGCGACAAACTTTTATACACAACTGTCAGACGCATCTCAGACAAGACACACACACACACACACACACACACACACACACACACACACACACACACACACACGCACATACACTGTAAACAACCCCAGACTTGCCTTCCTCTTGCCTCACATACTGTACAAGACCCAAGTTAAACTCTTCATACTAAAATGTTAATGTAAAGTGAGTGTGTTTTAACTCGCCTTGGTACTCTATTGTTGGCTCTGTTCATACTGCAATCCAAGCGGCGTTAAGTGGGGGTTAATGAACGCATTCTCTGACAGGACAGACAGACAGACAGACAGACTGATTGTGTCTCTCTCTCTCTCTTAAGTAACAATATAAATGTTTATTCTCAAAGATTCTTAAAGTCAAACGTATCTAACTGCCTGATTGAAGTTATGTTATAAAGATGAACTTACAAAGAGAGAGAGAGAGAGAGAGACAGGAAACATTCATCCACAGCTCCTTGATCCTACTTGTGGCAGGAATCCCGTGTCTGTAGGACCCAAGAGGCCACTCAGAGGGTTCGGAACCTTTGATCAATGACCACCCCGGAGCGGCCACAGTCAAGTACCACAACGCCAGATTTAGAAAAGGGAGTGAAACTGGCGCCCTTGTGTTTATGTGGGGGAGGGGCGTGTCTTGCCTTGTATAGATGTGTACAGGAAGTAGAGACAGTGTCCGTGTGTGTGTGTGTGTGTGTGTGTGTGCGAGAGATAGATAGATAGAGAGAGAGAGAGAGAGAGAGAGATCCAAGTCGCGTAACTTAACTTAAACGAATATTAATGTCAAGAATGGGTATGTATTTTAGGTTAGGTTAGGTTAGGTTGGGCTCTGTTCACACATGGGAGCTCATTTGACTATGCCCGGATAAAGTCTACGGCCCTGATCTACCCCGACATGCCTTAACCTACCTTGACCTGCCCCGACCTACCCTGATCTACCCTGACATGCCCCGACGTGCCCTAACCTACCTTGACCTGCCCCGACCTGCCCCGGACAAGTTATAGATAGAAGTACTAGTAATGTTCTATTATTAGACGCTTATTATTGCTATTTACTACAGGGTGATAATTCTCTCTCTTGTTTATTGTCTTCTAAATAACACCTAACAAAGGGGCTAGAATCGAGTGAATCACCCTATAGCCCTATCAGTAAAGACATGACTGGTCTCCCTTGGTTAGGTTAGGTTAGGTTAGGTTAGGTTAGGTTAGGTTTGGTTTGGTTCCTTTGTTTTTCCTCTACAAACTGGGGATCACCTGAAGATTAGACACACATGATTCATTTCACTTGATGATTAGATATGTAGGCAGGTGTTGTAGAGTAGAGGGTAGTGTTGTTGTAGGGTGGTTATGGGTAAGGGAAGTGTTGTAGGTGTGTAGGAAGGTGAGTGTAAATGTTGAGCAGGTAACGGGAAGGTGAAGGAGGGTGCAGTGGAGGGTGGAGTAACTGTAGGATGGAGGAGGAGGGGGGGAGAGGAGGAGGAGGGGGATGGTGGTGGTGGTGGTGGTGGAGGCAACAGCAACCATGTGTAACCGCCACAGCAAGAGTCAGTCAGTCTGTTAGTTAGTCAGTCCGTCATACCTGGTCATTAGCTCTTACCTGTGCGTTGAGTACCTGGTATCTCCCTCATTACCAACTCACCTGCCCGTGAACACCGTCGCTATTCTCTGATTATCATCGTGACTTACTGTGTTTCCCAAGTGACACACATACACATGACATATAACCCGTGGTGTGTGTGTGTGTGTGTGTGTGTGTGTGTGTGTGTGTTTGTTTGTGTGTGAATTACCTGGTACCTTGTGTGTAAATATATGCTCACTGAACATATATGAAAGAACAAATTATATGACCAAGGTATGTGTTATATAATGAGTACCTCGTTAAAAGACAAAGACGATTATACCACAGAATTATACACTAATTAAGACTACAGGTACAGTGTTATTATGCAGTACGTACAGTGTAGTAGATAATTACAATTGGATTATCGTTATAACTCGTCGTGTGGATTATCCTGGATTATGGAGTGTTATTGTGGGAATATTTTAATGGTAAGGATGATCATATGGGGCGGGTCTGTTTGTGTAGTCCTCTTGTGTTGTGCTGCCGGGGCCCGTGTGGAGGCGGGAGGCCAGCACCAGCGGGTCCTCTCGGGGGGTGACGTGGCTGCAGAAGGTGTCCATGGTGGTGACGAGGACTTGGGTCATCATACACAGGAGCTGAGTGATGTGGATACGTCAGGTGCCCAGGATCAGCTGACGACCCTGGACGATCAGCTGACGACTATAAACACCCACCTGAAGGAGGACCACACACACCTGGGGGGCACCTTAGCCACCCTCAGAGCTCACCTGGCCGCAGTTAGGGACGTCAGGTGAAGTGATCATTACATACATTCTACACCTACTGTAACAACCTCTACCGGATCACCAGAAGATTAGCCACCCTGGTTTATTTCACCTTGAGACCAATCACCCTAACCTAACCTCACCCCCCACAGGTGAAATAAGCTGGGCGGTTAATCTTCAGGTGAGTAATTTTATGTGGTAGTGGTGATAGGTCTCTTCTTATTCCTGTGACTTGGATGCATATAATGTTATGGTACTCTGTCTGTTTAACTGTCTGTCTGTCTGTCTGTACATGGAAGACAGGCAATCTGACACAAGCTTATTATACAGACGGAGGGAGGAGACTCGGTCATCTATTGTTGCTGGAGACCTTCTCAATCAGGCTCTTCTGGTCTCCGCCGCCAACCTGCGTCTCCTAGGACAACCCGCCACCCAGCAGGATCTCCTCGGGCTCGCCAAAATGGAGACTTATGAGGATGATGGTGCTAACGCCACTAGGAGGACGCTTGGGGACTACTGTGGAGGTACGGAGGACAGGAGGTCATATTGGCCTCAGTCATAATAGGAGACACTGCTATAATAAGTCAAGTTTTGTTAGTTGCTAGTCCTCATGGCCCAGAACCTAACCTACCCTACCCAAACTCCCCAGGTAACGTCATGTTAGTTATTCTTAAGGTGAAATAAACTGAGATGTCTGATGTTCATGGGTTCTAGTGATTCTTTTTCACCTTTACTTCATCAACACCTGGGCATGATGTTGTTCCGCTTGACTTACCTGAGTTGTGTGTGGGTGGTAGGTACCTCGGCCCTGGGACTCTTCAACTTCCTCACCTTCATGGTCTACGCCTTCTCCCTCCTGCTGACGCTGTTAACCCTGGCGACGGGCTCCATGGCCAACACCCTCTCTGGTACCTACCTGCCTGGTCTCCTCCACCTGCTGGGTCACCGAGGGCGGGGCAGGAGGTCAGCGCGACGGGGGATGTGGGAGAACTTACTGGCACACGTGAGAGCGAGGGTTCATTTGGCTGCCTCCCGCGACACCTTCAGCAGTTCGACACGTCCTTCCTGGGTTTTTATGAAGCCTTTATATCACCTACAGTCTAAAGCAATCCTGTCCTCACGCCCCTCCACTTTCATAGAGTCTGCTGGTCTTCCTCGGGAGTTTGTGTTGTCACTGGAGCAGAGTTTGGGTGGTGGTGTCCTGAGTGTCCTGCTGCAGGCGTCAGGCGGGTCACCCCAAGCACTGTTGTGTGGTTCTCCTCTCACCTCCGCCACACACCACTACCTCCTCACGCAGGCAGCCACTCGCTTCAACATGTCCCTTTAACATTGTTCGCGAGGGCTGGGACGATGTTGACAAGTTACCTGTCCCCTGCTGTGTTTGTTTTGTCTTGGATGGAAGTAATTTAGACTGGACCACCATTCTCAAGGGCCCTGTTGATAACGTGTTCCAGATGGTTAAGTTTGGATAGTTTAAGGTTGGAGCCCATTTGCCCAATAACTTTAACTTACTCCTTTCGTGGTTAATGTTGTGAAAACTTATGTACGACGATGAGTACAACTGAAGCCTCTCGTGCCTCATGATACTCAAGGTCCTACTCTACACGAAGACCGAGTTGGTCCTTGTAGGTTAGTTATTAAGTTATGGTTACCTGGGAGGGACATTATTAGGGTTGTGATGTGACGGGGGACACAGGTGGTGGTAGTGGTTGTAGGTGTGCTGGTGGTAGTAGTGGTAGTGATGGTGGTAGTGGTAGTGATGGTGGTAGTGATGGTGGTAGTGGTAGTGATGGTGGTATGGTGGTAGTGGTAGTGATGGTGGTAGTGGTATGGTGGTAGTGGAGGTGGTGGCCTGGTTGTGTGTTATGTAGTGACCGAGCGACCATCCTCACCAGCCACGCACCACCAGCAGGTACTGTACACTCTCGTCTCATAACGGTATAAAGCGCGCGGTGAGGTGGCGCCTGAACGTAAGGATGTCTTTACCACACACACACACACATATATATAGATATATGTATGACGCGGTTTTTCTGTTGTCATGACTTGTTAGGAAAAGTTTGGTTTCAGTAGGACAGAGCCAACTTGATCTAATATACTCTGTACCGACGAGGTCACCTAGTGGGTGGGGGGGTCCTAACGACGCAGGTGTGACGAAACTACCACTTGTCACCTCATCATGGTCTGACGGCGGGATATTCCTCAGTAGCGAGGCACCAAACACAAGTCTAACACAGACAACACCTTAGGCTCGAGAGCTCCTCCTTCGTCAGTTGTAATCGAGGTTAATGGTGCTCTTGGTGGCTGTACTCCTGTGGGGACATGTGCTGAAATACTACTCAGTGTACTAGTGTTTGTGAGGTGTAAACTTGAGTACTTTGTAGAACAGTTTTTAGGAATATTACAGCTGTAGTGACATACTGTACTCATGATGGCACTGTAACGCCCCGCCAATATCCTGACAGTTTTGTTTCGTCACCATGAAGGCTTTGTTGTCTGTGGGAGGGATTAATTTATTGGTATTGTGTGTGCAGTGTACAGCCTTCAGTCAGAGGACACAAGGTTACAATGACACCTGTGAAGAGAATGAAGCCTCACCTGTCTTACCTGTCGACACCGTGTACCCTCGCAGCACCCAACACACCTCGACCCAGGAAACACATCCCCCAATACTCGATCCCCTACAAGTGGACCTGTCCTCCCTGGGGGCCTCCTTCACCTCCCTGGCTACCTTCCTGCAGCATGCCAAGCAACACAGGTGATTGTTATAACATACTAGCAGGCTTAGGTTACGTTAACTTAACCTAATCTAATCCAACATTAACATAACCAGCAAAGTATGGTTAGGTTACGTTACGTTAACTTCACCTAATGCTAACTTAATCTCCCTTGGTAGCGTTAGTGTGTTTAATCATCAGGTGAAATAAGCTGGGATATCTAGTCTTCAGGTGATCTGGCAACAATAATGACCTTTTGTTTTAGGCCTCCTGACGGGGACGTGTCAGTGAGGGACAGGAGGGAGGCTGTGGAGCGAGGGGCCCTTTGGCTTCACCACCTCAACCTGCAGCTCTTGGACGGCCACCACCAGTCCTCGTCTCCTACTGGGTCGCCGTCAGGAGGTTCTTATGAGGTGAAACTCCACACGTCTATTGGCGAAAGGGTGTGGGCTGATGGTGATAGTGTGGGTGGCTGGTGTGGGGTCGTGGTACAGAGGGCGGGTGCTATATGGTGACATGACATAAACTCAAAGAAAACGGTTGGTGTGATATCACTTGTCTCTGGTGCTTCTCCCCCCTCCCCAGGTACCGATAGGACCCCGCTATGACGTGGAGACGACGCCCGCACCTGCTGCCGCACCTTCAGGAGTGGAATTCACCGCCAGGAGTGGAGGATATGGTGGAGGATGTGAGTATGGTGTGGATGGTGTGGATGGAAGGAGACAGATGATGGATGTATGAATGGATATGCTTGGTGTGGAGCTACAGTCCGACCCTAACATAAGCTAACATAACTTAATAATAATAGTAATACTAACATCAATAATAACAATACTAACAATAACAATAGTAACAGCAATAATAATAATAATACTAACCTCGTACTGTACACACCTGACCCCCCCTCCACCCCTTAGGTAGCAACCCGGCCCTGGGACTCTTCAACTTCCTCACCTTTATGGTCTACGCCTTCTCCCTCCTGCTGACGCTGTTGGCCCTGGCTACTGGGGCCTTGTCTGGCACCTTCCTCTCCAGCATCCTCGGTGTGGTCGTCAACAACAACAACAACAACAACAACAACAATAACAACAATGATAATAACAACAACAACAATAATAACAATACCAATGGGAGATCTGTATCCAGTTTTTCAAGTGTAATCTCCCAGGTGTTGGAGATGTTGAGAATCACCCAGGAGATTTACCGTAGTGGTGTGGAGGAGGATAGGAGACACCCGAGGGACACCACCACCAGGAAGCACACAGACCAGGTCCTCAACACGCTGCAGAAGGAGTTATCGGTGGGGTTTCTCAAGGCCTTACTGGGGACGGTACAGGGTGTTGATGAGGACATGTCGAGATGGTCAGCCGAGTCCTGTGGGGCACTACAGTCAACAGCTCATAAGTACTTCACCACACATGCCCAGACTTTCCTCCGTAACCTCTCTTGACGTAGACGTGGCAGAAGATACACCTGTCTATAACCTGCTACAGTCCAGGTGTCAGAAACGAGAACCGTAAATCAAGAACTTATAGTGATAATTTTTCTCTACACGTCGTCAAGTCTTTCTCAATGACGTGTACTGATGGGGGCCACGTCACTTGGCTTCATCCTCAGGTGTATAGTTGTATATTTCCACGACGTGTATGTATGTATATAAAACACTCATGGTTGGTGTCGTATAGTTAATAATACCTTTGATTAAATATAATAACTGTGTATTGTTGTTTTTGTCACCCAAATAATGTAAACAATAACAAACATTTTTAGTATTAAGTCTCTATGGATGTTTCAAGATGGCGGAGTGAATGTTGTTTACTATTTACTGAAGTCTTCTGTTGTGTGTGTGTAGTGTCTAGGTTAGGTTAGGTTAGGTTAGGTTAGTTTTTATGTTAGCTAGGTTACTGTTAGGTTAAGCTATTTTAGCGTTAAGTTAAGCTTGATTAGGTTAAGTTAGGTAAGGTTAGGTTAGGTTATTTTAGCATTTGGTTAGGTTACTGTTAGGTTACTGTTAAGTTAAGTTAGATTAAGTTAGGTTATTTTAGCATTAGGTTAGGTTACTGTTAAGTCATGTTTGGTTATGATAGGTTATTTTAGCATTAGCTTAGGTTACTGTTAGGTTAATTTAAGTTAAGTTATTTTAACATTAGGATGGTTAATCTTAGGGTGAAATAAACTGGAGGTCTAATCTTCAGGTGATCCGCAATACATTATACGAGGTGCACTGAAGATGTAAATAATCACGTACTTATCTACGATGGATAAAATAAACAAAAACATCACCAACAAGTCATCAAAGCTGCGTTAGTGCCGGGGGTAATTAAGACTCATCAATGACTCGTACTTAGAACATCATTATCACTCAATCCATTTTCTATTGAGTCTCGTTTTATGTGAGTTTTAATAAGTTTTTTTTTCTGTGTCTGAGAACTATGACCCCCCCCCCCCCTTCAGGTCACAACACCAACCAGGGGTAAAATATAATCATGATAATTGTTGATGTTTATTACTATTGATTCATAAATAATTCACAATTTATATTTTGTGTTTCTGTTATACATAAAATATTACTATGTGTAACGTGTGTGTGATAAGATTGGCGAACTTGTGTAGATTAAATGTTCGTTCTGGGAGGTTGATGCGTGTCAGAGGTTATAGAGGGTAAAAGGTCAGGGTAAATAATGGCAAGAGGTCAGAGGTCATAGCAGAGGGACAGGGGATAGGGTAGGTCATAGCAGGAGGGAGTCAGAGGTCATCGTGGATGCCTGGAGTCCGGTAGTCAGTGAGAGGGTCGCCGGTATACACTATGGGGTACTGGTAGTTGGAGGGGAGACTGAAGCATTGGGAGAACCTCACGGCACATATCGCACCCGCCGCCCCAGCCAGGCCAGCGTCCGCCGTGCCCTTGTACCGGGTGGCGTTCTCCCTCGTCAACCACGTCGCTGCGTTGACACTGTGGGCAGGAACCATACACGGAAGGTTATGTTAGACTTGGTGAGGTTAAGAACAGTGTATTTAAGGAAGTTTTATTCGGTTTAATAGTGTAATTCATTATAACAAGATCATTGAAGGACATTGTAAAGCCACTAGTGTTTGTTTTGGCATCTGTGTTAGTGTATTAATGTTTGGGTTGTGTCGTGTTCGTCCCTGTTGAGGTTTGGTAAGACTTGAAGACATAACTCACGGCATAGCTTTAAGTGTTGTCATCTCTGTATTCTCGTCTACACACACACACACACACACACACATACACACACACACACACACACACACACACAGACACACACACGTACACACACAACCTACCTGGCAACATTAGCGATCATCTGGCCGAGTTTACCCGTGGAGGCCGCTTCCTCTGCCCCCTCACATAGGAACCTCTTGGCACAGTCCCCGTCAGTAGTGGACAGGGCGTTGAGGAATCCCCGGTACATACTGTAGCACGCCGCCGCCGCCCTGTGGCTCCTGGGGTCCTATCGATGCGGGGAGACGGAGTGAGGGGAAGAGATGGTTACTGAATGACAAACTAAAGACGATTATTTACCAAAGCTTACAAGTTCTCTCCACAGGAACCTTCAAGCCCTGTACCATTCAGCTTGAGTGATGTAATAAAGCTGAATTTTTACGGGTGTTTGACAGTCCACGTTTTAGGTACAGTGAGTGAACAGCAACAACAAAAAATTCCACATTGTCAGTACAGCTCTTACCTCCAGGTGTAGAGACAAGAGGTCCTCGCCGCCGCTCCAGTCCCCTGCCTCCCGCCTCCTCCTGGTGCCTGTATTATTCTGTAGCTCCAGGATGAGGTCAAGTAGCGCCAGCAGGAAGGCCAAAAACCCGAACCCGGAGAAGGCATCGTTACAACCTCCGGAACTACTGAAGAAGGGGATGATGAATCTGTAGGAGAGGGAGAGGTGGACACTAAAAGACTGGAAAATGGCGAGGGGTTGAGGTTACGTTTGTGTTTATTTTCAATATGGCGACGGTGTAGAATAACTGCGTGAGTGATATGAATACGTCATTATCCCCTCTGTTTACTGTCAGGCTCCAGGGGCGCGATCAGAGGGAGACTCACCTGGGATCTCCTGCAGGTTGTGACTGTCTGAGGGAGTTGGTCACCCTGTCCACCATAATCTGCGTCAGGTCGGAGAAGGAGAAGATCATATCCTCCGGCACCTGTCCCAGCCCCTCCATGGTCACGTTCCTTCACTCTTGAAAGATGAATCATTCTCCGCCTTCATCACCTCATCACTTTTACAGCAATAACAACATATATAACTATCTATCATCACATTCACCAGACTTGATTTTTACTCATGAACCATTGACCAGTCACACAGGTGTCAAAGGTCATGAAGTAATACAATAAGTTCCTTTATGACCTCCTCGTCTGGTGATGCAAAGACGTGTTACAACAGCACTACTGCCTCACCTGTACGACGAGGGGACGAGTTACCTGGTGTATCACCGAGCTTCTGGAGACGATCAACACGTCTTGTAGTTCACACGACGAAGACGAACTGATCAGTGGCTGGTTGTGGTGATGGTCGTGAGGTGGCGCTAGTGACGGTCACGGTCCAGGGGAGTGGAATTGACGTAGGAGGGAGGAGGCAGAGTAAGGAGGGAGGGAAGAGTGGGGAGGAGGAGGAGGTAGAGTGGGGAGGAACAGGAGGCAGAGTGGGGAGGAGGGTATGAGTTTAAGGGGTAAGGTGAGGGGAGATTGGTGAGTGAAGAGTGGTAAGGAGGTAGAAGAAAGGGGACCTTATGAGAAGATGGAGAGAGAGGTGAGGGCGACTGGTGAGGAGTGGAGGGAGAGGGGGCAGAGGGAACTTGGGGAGGTAAGTAACACATGACAGGTGGGGCCGAAGCTGAACTGTGTCAACCTAACGGGGAGGGAATGTTGCGCCTTACCTTTCTGCCAGTCAGTCACGTGTGAACCTTCCTGGTGTAAATAGAACGTTTCATCCCAGAGAGCTTATTTCTTGAACATTTGAGCCCAGAACGTTTATTTCTTGAACATTTTAGCCCAGAACGTTTATTTCTTGAACATTTTAGCCCAGAGCGTTTATTTCTTGAACATTTTAGCCCAGAACGTTTATTTCTTGAACATTTGAGCATAGAACGATTATTTCTCAAACATTGTACAATAAAACGTTTCACCCTAGGATGCCTTTCTGTAGAACACTTCAACTTGGACATTTTTTACTACGTGTATCTGAACGTTTATATAAATCCCCACAATGGAAATGAAAATGTTTAAAAATAATCATACGTCCATAAGTGTTCCCTCAACCGTAAGTTTTCGGTCATGAGGTCACTTGAGGTGTGTGGATAGCGGTATGCTGGTGTGACTACTGTGTTAAGTGAGCATTGGTTATGGGTAGTGACTCTCTCTCTCTCTGGTGTCGTCACGGGTACAAAAAACACAAGTATACCATAACGTCAATGTTTATTTAATATACAATGGAATAATGACACTTATAATTACTGAAGTTTAAAATCAGGTTGACCTCAGTCTTAATTGGCCTCAGCCTAAACTAACCTGATGAAATATAATCTAACCTAACCTAACCTAACCTGACCTAACCCAATCATTAGAATAAGGGCTCGTGAGGTATGGGACTTATTAAGAACTATACATCAATTCTGCTGGCTAGGTTAGGTTAGGTCAGGTTAGGTTGGGATCATTTAGTCCTGGGGTCTCTGACGAATGGCTGCTCTTCCCTAACCTCACGTTCCTAAATATAAAATTAAGTCAGTTAATTTAATTCCTCGGGATCTTTCTTCGTCCCCTGACATACTGTAGAAGTTGATCTGTCATAACAAGGCGTCTCCAGTCACCCAAGGGTCTTTAGCGGGTGTTGTGGGCGTGGGTAAAGCTAGTCTCCGGTTGATATGGGCGTAGGATGATGTAGGAGTAACCGGTTGTTCTTAAAGGGCCTGGATCATCTAGGTTAGTGTGCTGTCAGCTGAGCAATTGTAGAGGAGGTGGTCGGGAGGGCAGGAGAGGGTGGAGGAAGCCTGGAGTGTGATCTGACCCAGCTGTGAAGAGGACAAACTTGGCCACCTCGTCAGCCAATCTCTGTCGCACATGATATATTGAGAGGGGGGTTAGTTGAGACGTGTACAGGTGTGTGTGATGATTTTGTTTTTAATTATATTTTATCTGCTGTAAAAACCACGACTTGGAAACATGGTGCTTAATAACCCTTGCCGACTCACCCTACTAGCCTGGTAATCGTCGCTGGTAGGGGTCCTCTTGCGGCTGCAGTGGCTGCGGCCTGACACAGGTAGGCGTGGCCACATGCAGGGGGACTGGTGACCGCCTGCAAGACCCCGTCAGCTAGCACGCCCGCCGCCCATATCCCCTCCCACGCCTCAAGTTTATTCTGTCAACAAAACTTCGACCTGTCAGCATTGTTTTGGATATCGTTTTCAGTTAAGTTATCATCCAAAGGGTTAAGTTATAATCGAAAGGGTTAATACATATTATAATAGAGAGAATACCAAGACAGTAATCCTTAACTATAGTGCTTTAAATTAACAGTGAGAGAAGGACCGAGTATAGAGGCGCCTTACCGTACAGTCGAGTGATCCTTCGGGAGCAGTGTGAACCTCCCTCAGCTGCCTCATTCCTCCACCACCGTCGTTCATGTCGTTGAGATCGAGGAGGAGGTCGAGGAGGGCGACGAGAAAGGCGAGGAAGGCGAATACTTCGAAGCCTCCACACCCACCACCTCCATAACCACTGTCCCGAGCTGACCTGTTGGTGGCGGAGGAGGTAGTGGTGGTGGTGATGTAATGGTGATAATGATGGTGGTGGTGATGGTGGCGATGTTGTTGATAATATTCGTTGTAGTGAGGAGTGCCTGATGATGGTGGTGGTAGTGGTGAAGGAGTGTTTGTTGCTGGTATAGGTGTTGTGTATAGTCGAAGGTATACCCAACAACCATAGTCACTTAAAGACGTAAAAACAACCTCAAGAATACTATCACACCTTAACAACTGAAGCCATAACTATCAACACATTTATCTGTTTACAAATACACATACAGCCACGCTTTCCACCTCACACATTATGATTCAGTTGAGGAAGTGAAGGTGATTGAGTGACGTGCCATCCACATTGTCTCGTTATGTACCGTCGACTTTGTATGCTGTGGTCTTTCTGTCACACAAGTTTACCTGTAGGTGATGGGAGTCTTACCTGCCGTCGGGAGAAGATTGCTGCAGAAAGAGATCATGAAGCGTCTTGGTGTGTTGCTGTAGTAGGTCGTGGTGGTGTGGTGTGGTCGTTTCCTGAAGAAGGTGGTCGTAGAGGGTGGTCATGTGTTGCTGTAGTAGGTCTTGTTGGTGGTGAGGTGTGGTCGTGGGCTGTACTGCACTCATAGCTCCTCCACAACACTCCTACAACAACAACAACACACTCAGCGTCACTACTATAACCCGGAACAACCAACAACACAACACGCAGTATATCTTAGCTCTTTAACAATATCACACAGCAGCTATCACCAGTATTTCACCAGGTTTGTTCATCATGGTGCTGTGATAGGCTGTGTCCGTGTGTGTGTGTGTGTTGGCTGCGAGTGTGGGAAGTAAGTGAGTGAGCTGGTATGACAATGACGCGGCCGAGGTAGCTACTGGTGGTGGGTGGTGGTGCCGCTGAATTATAGGACGTGGTCGCGTTAGATATCTTGATTTCAGTACATAAATATTGGACACACACACACACACACCCACCCACCCACACACACACACACACACACACACACACACACACACACACACACACACACACACACACACACACACACACACACACACTATGTTCGCCAGCGTGGACGAAGAGAATCAATGACTAAACAGGAGGATGGTAACACCTGAGCGAGGCAGCACCCGACATATAGCACCTAGCACCCAGCAGCCGACATCTAGCACCTAGCACTCAACATCTAACACCCAGCACCCGACACCCAACTCGTTCTACTTAAAAATTGATCTTGCATCCACACAGACAGATTTAGACAGACAGACAGATATCGACAAACAGACAAATGTAGACAGACGTCATGTTCTTATATTTTAAAGTGAATTATTTTAACTTATTTGACATTTCCTCTTTATTTCATTTTTTTTATTATTTACTTCTATATATAATCAAAATGTACTATTAAAACTAATTTTTCAGTTACGTCATCTAAACATCAACTTAGCTATCATAATATATAACTTCTGAATATGTCCCTCTGTTTAACTTCTTTGATTTTAGCTTTGTTATACTGTAGTACACACGAGCTTTCAGGAGGCGACCCCATGGAAGAGAATTTTCGCTTGTTATCCCTTAAATAGTAAAATATTTACGTTTTCTTTGATTCACAAATGTATTCGTTTTCTCTGACAGTGAGATTCAAGATTTAGTGTATAACTCTACCAAATTGTGTCTAATTAAAACTACTTTACATTGTGAGGGACAGGGTGATTGATGGAGTTGGGGAGATAAGATGGCTGGATGGGATTGGAAAGACAAAGTAGTTCGGCAAGTTCTTTCTTTCTTTCTTTCTTTCTTTTTACGTTCGTTGTGGTGTTTTATCTTAGATGGCAGTAGCAGTTTGTACAGTATCTTTCCAACTGAGACATCTGATATTATGTTTGATAAGTTAGATCATGCTCTAAGCTGATGCCTCATTATCTGAAAGAACTAACTAAAGTATGTCAGCAGCTGAAAAGTCAGTCAGATAACAATTGAAATAGTTCGAGAAGTCATCAGTGTTGCCCAGAATTTGATGTGTTGTGTAAGGCAGGTAAGTATGTCAGAGAAAACATAAGAACATAAGAAAATAAGGAGTCTGCAATAGGCCGGTTGGCCTGTGCATGGCAGCTCCTGTCGAGAGTTACTACCACTCTATCATCCATGAATTTATCCAGCCTCCTTTTGAAACTTTCCAGTGTTCCAGCACTTACTACAAAGTTGCTAAGCTTGTTCCACTCGTCCACCACTCTATTTGTGAACCATTTGCTTCCTATCTCCCTCCTAAACCTAAACTTATCCAACTTAAATCCGTTGCTCCGAGTCCTATCCTGCTCGGATATTATAAGAACTTTCTCTATATCCTCTTTATTGATTCCTTTCACCCACTTAAATACTTCTATCATATCTCCCCGCACTCTTCGTCTTTCTAGGGAATGCAAGTTTAGTTTCTTTAAACTATCCTGATATGGAAAGTTTCTAAGTCCCGGAATCATTTTCGTCATTCTTCGCAGCACCGACTCAAGTGAATTTATATCCATTCTATAAAAAGGGCACCTGAACTGAACAGCATAATCGAGGTTGAACAGCATAATCGAGGTGCGGCCTGACTAGCGCAAGATATAGTTGCAATAAGACCTCTGCACTCTTGTTACTTACACTTCTAGATATAAAACCCAATACTCTGTTTGCCTTATTTCGAACATTAACGCACTGTTTTCTAGGTCGTAGGCCCGGGCATACAAGTACCCCTAGGTCTCTTTCACAAGTCGACTTCTCTAGGTTGATGTTGTTAAGGCTGCATACATTGACAGTATTTGTCCTTCCAATATTAAGTACGCTGCACTTGCTGGTGTTGAATTTCATTTGCCATTTTTCAGACCACCCCTGCAGTTTATTTAGATCCTCCTGGAATGCATTTGCATCCTGCCCTGAATTAATCTGCCGCCCTATTTTGGTGTCATCCGCAAACTTGCTTATGTCACTGCTGATCCCAGTATGGCCTGTAGATCGTTTATGTAGATTATGAACAAGAGTGGGCCTAGTACTGACCCCTGGGGAACGTTTGGAGCCTACCACCCACTCCTGACGCATGTAAAGCCAACTACACTGTCTTACAATTATATGTTTGGGTCAAGGCTGATAAGTGTTGTGTTTAATTGTGTGATTATTGTTCATTTTAGTGTTGTTGTTATTGTTATTATTGTTGTTGTTATTATTATTATTGTTATTATTATTATTATTATTATTATTATTATTATTATTATTATTATTATTATTGTTATTATTATTGTTGTTATTATTTTTTTTATCATTATTGTTATTGATATTATTAGTATAATAATAATAATAATAATAATAATAATAATAATAATAATAATAATAATAAACAAAGGATTTTACCAAATGTATCAAACTAAAACACGAGATAAGATTGGACCAATACGTTCAGATACCGGCGAGCTAACAGATAACGACGGAGAAATGAGCAATAATCTGAATAAATATTTTTCAACAGTTTTCACCACCGAAAATTTAAACATGATACCCGAGGCACCGACTCTATTCAGAGATAGTGAAGAAAACAAATTAAGCGAGATAGTAGTGATTAGTAACGATGTTAATAAGCAAATATACAAACTGAAGCCTAATAAGTCACCTGGTCCCGATGAGATATTTGCCAGGGTATTAAAGGAATGTAAGGATGAGCTTAGTATGCCCTTAGCAAAGTTGTTTAACATGTCATTAAAAACAGGTGTAGTACCAGAATCCTGGAGGATAGCGAATGTAATACGGTACCGGTTTTCAAGAAGGGGGATAGATCACTATCCTCTAACTACGGCCCAATCAGTCTAACATCAATAGTAGGCAAATTACTGGAAGCAATCATTTCAAACTCTATTCGAAATCACTTGGAGAAGCACCAATTGATCAATGATTCCCAGCATGGCTTCACAAGCGGACGTTCTTGTCTAACTAATCTATTAACATTCTTTTCATCAGTCACTTGATTGACAAAAGCTTTCAATACAAAAACATAAGAAACATAGAGACAACATATAGATTAACATTGGATCTGGTACTGTGGGAGCTGGTCTGCCGACATTCTTATGACCTGATGCCGGAGCCAAGCTTGGCTGTTAAGCCGCTACCTCACTACAGGTGTACCACGTGGTCCGGGTAGTTCCTTCAGCTCACACGGGGTGTTGGAGATGGTTCTTGATATGTAGTTAGGAATTCATAGAACATAAGAAAATAAGGAGCCTGCAATTGGCCGGTTGGCCTGTGCATGGCAGCTCCTGTCGAGAGTTACTACCACCTGGGTGGAGTAGGGAGTCCTCATTTCCCTCCTGGTGTAGTTTGAAGAGTTTCTTGGCTTCTCATCCAGTGTTGGTGGTGGTGAGTGTACGGCGGACCCTGGGTGTGTCAGGTCCGCGTCAGGTCAACATTGACCACTAAGCACGATTGTCGCTCTAACAGTTGTTTCTTTGTTTCGAGTTGAAATTGTCACTTTTGTTTAACACTTGTGGGTTGATCGTTGATCTTTGCACTGTACGGCCGCGTGAGCGAGCAGCGCCGACTACACACGTATATACGGAGCTGTATCGACAATAGACAAACTATATTAAAAGGAATTTCAATTTGTTTATCGATATGATGGTTGGAAAATTTTATTATGAACTGAATGGAATTATAGGGATCAAAATTAATACCATCAATGAATTATAAAATTGAAGGAACATATTCTTATCTTATTTGTAATTCCTAAAGTTGTTGTTTTGTTTCACTGTTGCTCCTATTTGTTGCTCTACTTTCTGTCTATCACCCTGTCTAGATCATCTTTTCCATTATGAACATACTTAGAGAAGCTGCCCACAGGCTCTGTGTATGTAGGAAGCAAGATGAAACATTTCTGGTGCCGCGGCTTGCTGTCTGGCTATACAGGTCGTAAACGTGTGGAGGACGGGGGGGTGGAGGAGGGCGGTGGGTGAAGGTAGCCGACTGCCAATCGTTAGTTGCCGAGAAGCACCGTGAAGGGAAGGAGGGAGGGATACTAATACACACCCTACTGTCGGGAGTACCAGGTTAGTACTGTGTCATTAGGGACTATCTTTGTGTATTACCAGGTTATATAACTACCGTAATATAGAGCCAATATGGATGTACAGTATAAATAATAGTGATAGACGTAGATACTGTACATCTTTTGTCCGGAGGGAATGAGTCACGCGCGCGCACACTCATGCACACACACACGCACGCTCTGCTTGCATGGCGTTACCCCGCGAGATTTAAAACATCTTGGTAAATATTCCATAGTGTATAGTTAAAATGCGTGTTAAAACCCTCATCTGCCCCGTCGTCAAAGAAAAACGAACAAGATTAGATAACAAGTGAGGTGTAAACACAACCCTGACGTGTTAGGTGAGCGTATCTCTCTCTGTTGACAGGAGTGATAGATTTCTGGAGCAGTGGTGCCGCCTGGTGGATAGTGTAAAGAACAACAAAATATCTGTGATAACTGTCCTACGTCACTGTTATTATGACACTTAATATAGAAGTCAATATAGCAGCTTAATTATTATAAAAAACTTTGAACATCCATATTGAGTTATGTTGAATTGACTTATTGTTTACCATTGTTTGTATATCGATGAATCAGTGTAAACATGCATGATGATTTATCTATCTATCAAGGTGTGCAAGAGATCCTCGTGAGCTCCGCCGCTACTCGTGAGCTGTGAGTGAGAGGGGGAAGTAAAAGTTCCCAGAGTATTGACGTTCCCCTCCCACTCAGCTGGTTATGATACGAAAGACGCTAACGTGACGGAATCTGGAAAGTGGTGGCGGGAAAATTTGAAATGTTATTTAACCAATGTTAATGTTATGTTAACTTAAAGTTACTTTCTGCTTGTTATTCACGTCAGTGTTTTGGTGTCTCGTGTAACAGTGGTTCAATAACACTCGTCGATAAGTAATGTCTTGTATTTCACTTTATGAAGAAGCTGCCGCGTTGGGAGGGGGCCACGCGTGCAGGTGAGAAGGAAATTATCGATTGAAGGAGACCTTGGACACTATTTCCACTCCCTCGTGTATTCCTGTTGGCCGTTTTGTCTTTGCACAGGATGTAAGTAGGTGCTCAGTAAAATAGCCTAATCCGCCCGAATCTGTGTGGCGGTAAGTCTGAGTTTGACGGACCACTGACTGGATGTTATGCACGCTTCAATAATTATTATTTATGTGTGTGTGTAGCGTCGAGGTGTCATAGAACGTGATGTGAGTTAAGTGATGGAAAACAACAACACATTATTGGTATTTTTTTATGAGTTTAATGATGAATAACTTTATATTAAATAAAAAAAAAATCCGGATGAATCAAAATAATCCCACACTTCTATCTGCAGCTACGTACAGTAGTTGTGTGTTAGAGGGGGTGAGCGAGCGTACAGAGGATGGCGGGACGCCGAGGCGGTGATGGGTGGTGTGGGATGTTGTCACCTTGGCTGGGAAGTGCTTGGATGTGTCCAGTGAAGCGGCAGCCAAGTATACCATCTGAGGCCATCACTTTCGGAGATGACAACTGGTGGAGGGAGTCGCCTTCACCTAGCCGGACCTACAGGGTAAGTCTATATTTTATTCTTGTTTATTTTGGATCACGTGTTGATTAGCACTTGTCTTTTACCCAAAGTTTGATTTACTTGTTGATTAACTCCTTAACCTAATCTTACCTGAGTTGTCTTAATACAAACTAACTTAAACTAATCTAATATAACTTGAGTTGACCTGATTTAAGTTAACATGATCTGACCTAGTCTAACCAAAGAATCTGACCTAATCTAATCTAAGTTAATCTAATCTAAACTAACCCCCCAGGTAGAATTGGTGATATTAATTATCAGATTAAATAAGCTTGGGGGATTAGTCTTCAGGTGATCCAATATACCTGTCTCTTTTATTTAATTAATGGTTAGAGAAGATCTGGCATCACCTGGTGATTAAACTACCCGACAAGGTGTGCCATTGATTTAAGATATTTGAAATAGTTAAGGTAATATGACGTAAACTAAACACTAGCATAAGTTAACACTATGACATATATTTATTGTATACCTCCAGGGACCGCAAATGATCGGCACCCCCCCACCACCACCACCACCACCACCCCCCCCAGATATGGTGTGTTTTGAACAAGAGAATCGTCGGTGCTGGCTTCCTCAAGCTGCTCCTTCCGGCCCACCGGTTCCTCCACCTCATGGTCCTCACTCCCTCTACCGCTCACTCGAGGACTATAAGCCCCTTCAACACATTTCCAGGACGGTTCACTTCAACGAGTACGAAGATATATTGAAAGAGGGACTGAAACCAAAGAAGATTGGGTCTGAACACCTCACTTACATCTCCATCTCGAAACAAAATATCTGCGCGTTATTTTTCGGAGTCCCTGGTGATGGTGACGCCCATGATTGGTACGGTAACATTAGATTAAAGGTCGAATTTAATCGGATGTTGCAGGAGATACATCCACGCGTCTACTTTGTGGATGTTGTCGATTTTAAATCCTCCAGCGCCTCCAGACTACTACTGACGACGAGGAGATACGATAACCACTTCCCCAGGTACGATCCTAAGGTGATGGGCGGCCCTTGGTACAGAGACCCAAGTGGTAAAGACTGGTACCTAACGAACGCCAGGAGATACAACAGCACCAACAAGAACCATCACGGCCACCAGTTAGAGTTCTTGGTGGAGTTAAATAAAGTAGAGTACCAGAAGTTGTTGTCTATGTGTGAGAAAAGTCCCGTCGATCACTCCCAAGCCAACACCAAGAAGCCGAGGACCTGTATGAGATATAATAGCTTCGGCAACCCGTGTCCTTCACCCTGGGAGGCCAAGGAGACGGAGGAACGGGTGATGTGCCTTGACCTTAAGAAGAAGAAGAAGAAATACCCGACTACCTGTGATCGTTTAGAAAATAAGGACAAAGGTGAAAAGAAAGACAACGAGAGAGCAATTTAAGACAATAAAAAAAAGTACAAATATGTGGTGAAACAATAAAACAAAAGACAAACACAAACTGAGTAAAGAAGAAAAACAAAATGGGTAATATTAATTCATGAGCTTCGATAATTTATAACCTTGTGTTGAAGGGGTAAAAATAACATTATAATCTCTCACAATTATCATTCCCACGACAACACAACACGACCTTAATAAACACATAAACCTAAACGGAAATAAGAAACAACTTAATAACTTGCAATATTACGCTTGAATAGCATTATAATTCAGTAAATAACAGGTAAAAATTACCATATATTACCAACAGGAGTTTAAAAAAAAGTTAAATTGTCATATATATAAAAAGTGGATTATCCTGTGATATAAACAGCCTCGTGTGATTACTGTTTGGTGTAGAATAACTCGTTGGAATGTCAGTAAGAGATAACCGTGTGTGTTGAAGGCCTTGTTGTGTTGGCTGAAGGAGCGACTCGAGTGTTATGCCGAGTACAGGCAGTCTGGTCACCTACCCAGAGCACCCACGATTGTCGCCATCACCACCTCCTCTACTTCTCCCCTTCTACTTTACGGTGCTTTCTTCCTTCTCTTCGCAGTGCCTTCCTTCCTCTTTACGCTGTTCTTTTCACGTTATCCTCTTCACGCTGTCCTCGTCTTCACGCTGTCCTCTTCACGCTGTCCTCTTCACGTCGCCGCCACTTCACGGTACTCCTGTCTGGTTCTCCTCAGTGTAACTCCATGTTATAGCCAAGTGAGTGAAGAACCTCAGCTGGCGGAAGTCTCAATAAAAATGTAACCTAAATTTGTTTTATTTTCTTGTGGATGTCTCGAGAATAGTTTTGGAGTCACCTGAAGATTAGCCTCCCTCCCTCCCTCCCCCTAGTTACTTATTTCACCTGATCCTACCTGAGGCTATATTAGGTAAAATAGAATCTGGCTGGCATGGATTTAAGATAGACCTACTGTAGTGGTCGATATATAGATAGATAGACAGACAGACATTGACTCGGTTGACTTGGCTTGTATATTAAGAGTACAGGTATACAGTGTACCAGGTGTAATGAGACTAATTAGCAAACTTGCCTGAACTTACGTACACTTATTTTTTAACCTTTTTAACCCACAGATCAAATTAACTGACCTAACCTAACCAAACTTAACCTAACCATCAACCTGTTATGATATCCATTAATCTCTTTCTCATTCTCTTTTATCACATTAATTTCACTTCCCGGTATCATTAATTTGCACTCTGTTATGTTTCTAAGTTACTGACGATGTATGTAAGTTTGACTTTATTGTTGCATTGTGCACTGTTATCATAAGAGACAGGAAATGACTCAATCATATCCTCTCTGTGTGGTTCACATGTAGTGTACAGTATATGTGTATGAATATGTGTGTATGTGGTGTATATACAGTATGTGTGTATACGTGCATAACTGCGTATGTGTAGTGTACAGTATGATAATTAAGCACTTAAGTTATTGTTTCCCGTTGCTTGGCTTAGATTATTACGCACTTGATGTATTGCTACGTCTGGCAGCGTTATCAAGCGTTGCGAGATGTTAGCAGGGAGTTGTACTGGCTGGCTCCCTTGTCTAATACGTGCTCACAATAACATTTTTATATATAAGCTGTGATAATATAGTTTATAGGCATATAATGATATAAACTATACTAGTGTTTATTAATCGATATATAAAATAAAATATAGTTTGTTGATTAATATATAAATTTATAAGTTTTTGGCCACACACATACACATGCAAACAGACGCACAGATGCACACACACGCACACAGACACACACAGACACACACACACACAGTTAAGTAAGTCACTGCTATCAAACACACTATTAACTTTACACAATATGGCACAAGAATTACTCCCCAACTTTACTTATATACACACATTAACACACACATTAACACACTTATTAACATATAAAATAATATATTTAATCACCATTCTAAACATATAAACACAGGTAATTAATCTTCATCTCTTCTAATTAACACATATTTACTGTGGTTAATATGTAGTTAACAATTGTAATCAATATATGTAAAGGCAGTGTGTTATTGCTTTAATAACAATTGTAAAATGGTTTACAGTTTACAGCATATATTATGGTTTATAGAGTACAGAATATATCGTTGTGGTTTACGGTTTACAGCATATATTGTCGTGGTTTACAGGGTACAGCATATATTGCCATGGCTTACAATTTACAAAATATATTGTCGTGTTTTACAATTTATAGAATATACTCGTATTGCCGTGGTTTACAATTTACAGCATATGTTGTGGTTTACAGTTTACAGACTATATTGCCGTGGTTTACATGGTACATAATAATATAGTATACACGGTTACAGTATATAATAATAATGGATGGTTTACAATACACTCGTGTATAAGATATATCACTATTATATATACTTCTGTGTGCTGAAAATAATATAAAAAATATACTGCTATATCTACGACTACTATATATTTAAGAAAATATATATAATTTGAAGTTAAAAATTAGTTGGTTATATTGTGCGTCATATCTTACTGATAATATGTTAAGTAGCGCCCCCATGTATGACCCCAGCGCCTCATGTAAGACCCCAGCCCTCCATGTAGGACCCCAGCCCTCCATGTAGGACCCCAGCGCCCCATGTAAGACCCCAGCCCCCCATGTATGACCCCTAATACCCCCTATGTATGACCCTAACACCCCCTGCATGAACCCAGTTCCTGTTGCATGAATCCTATCCTATTAAGCAAGTTGGCCAGTAAAAGAAAATGAAAATAAATGTATTATATTTAGGGGGGTGACTATTCTATTCTCGTTTTTCTTATTTAGGTTATGTTTAAATCAAGACTTTGGATCCCATTATTGTCTGCCTTTTCACTCAGTCAGTCAACCAGACCCTCATTCATCCATGCACCAGTAAGATAGTTTATGTGTTAGTTCAATAGATTTAGCTACATCAAACTAGGCTCACTTGAAGATTAACCCAACCTAACGCTTCTAGTAGGGTTGGGTTAGGTTAGGTTAGAGTAGATTAATTTAGATTACATTAGGCTACGTTAGGTTAGATTAAGTTATGTTTTGTTGGGTTAGCGTTTGGGTGGTTAATCTCAAGGTGAAATAGACTGGGGTCTAATCTTTGGTGATCCTTCAGCTGTTATATGGATGCAAATATCTCCTGGCTTGTGTGAAGAAGTCTTGGAAGTATCATATTTACGTTCTATCAATTAACTAGTCCAGATCCAATTTCGTGTCTGAGGGTTGGCCACCACGGCCCTCCACTCTTAACATTTTTGGGGCTATGTTTGCCAATCCTCCCAGAGTTTGTATATCTCCGGGACCACAGCTTTTAATTTTATTTCTCCATCTCAGTTTCTGTTTTATCCTGGAACTCGTACCTTCAGTTTTGCTCATCAAAAGACCTAACGTTCATAAAAAAAGGTGCAACAAAGAGCGACTAAGATGATTCCGAACTATGTCATCTCGGTTGTCCAAGTAGATTGAGGGCCTTGGGACGAATAAACCTTCAGGCAATGCACAATAGGGCAGATCTCACCGAAACATTAAATATCTTGAAAATGATGGGAAACGTGAACCCGGGTCACTTCCTTGTGATGTCACGCACCGTCAACACAAGGGGACTTGACATATAACTAACTACAAGCTCGCCAAATCATGCTGAAAGCTGGTAGACCTATGGAACGGTCTACCAGCCCAAGCTGAGGATTCAAGAACAATATTGGGTCTCAAAATAGTCCTTGGGAAAACTATCAAGAAGAATGGAGGGATCCTACACAGGCCATTGGCTTCCTTCCCTCGGCATGGTAACCGCTAGTGTGTGCCCATTAGGTAAATATCTATAATAGTTACCCACGCCATAAAATACTTCGTTTTCTGAAGGTGCCTAGATATGCACTTATAGAAAACGGAGTAGTTTATGGGATAGCTCACATATCTATACGTTGACTCTTAATTTTATAAGCCTACTGTATCTTTCTCACTCATCTCTCAAGGAACTGGTCATTTTGGATTACCTGAAGATTAGACATATTGGGAGTTAAGATTCGTTACAACGTCCCCACCAGTTTAAATAGAGAGTTAATATTTTGCTATTTGGACTTTAGATATACAGGTGTAGGTTACGTTGCCTTTCAACATTCTTGGTGAGTCATTATTTTGGAGGTAATGCCGAAAGTTGAATTGCATACCGTAAATATTCCTCGGAAAATCTGCTGAGTCGCCGTGTGTTGTCTGTTTACAACTGACCCGCTCAGTCCGAGTGTACTCTCACGTCCACTAAAAACTTAAAATTACACCATGACGCTTCAACAAAGTTTCTTTCATTGGTAGCACATATCAAAAGAAGTACTGCTGTTTAATATGGCATGAGGTCTGAGGAGCGGCGCCCCCGGGCTAGGAAATTAGGTAAAGTTAGGTAGATTTCCTTGGTTGGCTAAATCTATGTCACCTTGAAATTTCCTCATAGATGGGGATTTTCCAAAGAATATTAGGGTCAGATTTAAACATCACACCAAAATACTCCAGAAAAATATTTCCCTGTGTGAAAGGAAGGGGACGTTAAAACGAATTTCTGCCACATTAGGTTATTTTATATCAAGATTAAACACCCTAACGCTACCTGTCATGGTAAATATTTGTAGAGAGAAAGCAGTGCCAGTGTTTGGTCGTGTTGTGGTGATCATCGATATACTTCTCTTAAACATCCTACTGTGGTTTGCTCACCCATGGACACTGGTAAATGTGTTCTATATCTCTATCAACATCAGCTCTAACTTTGCTGGTTCATCCCGGACACACTACCCTACCCTGGGTCACTGAAGTCCTGTGACGAGTTGTTTTCTTCGCCCTCCTGACGCCAGTTATCCTTAGGGAGTGTTCGAAAAGGTTCCTCGGTGTTCAGTCCTTACGAAACTTTGTTCATAATCTCGGTGACATCCCCACCTTGGTCAGACGTAGATTTCCCCTCCACTGCTGTGAGCAGGTAAGGCCAGCCACAGTGAAACACCTATGAGAGATGAGGGAGGGTGAGTGATCATGACTACTAGCTGAGAGAGAGAGAGAGAGAGAGAGAGAGAGAGAAATTGATAGCCGTGAATGATGACTTATCTTAAAGCCGAACATAGAGTCACTGTTAGATGCTTGCCTCACATATCACACTACATCCATCAAGATGAATCGGTTCATTATCTTCTAAGTCTATAAGGGCGTAAGATGAAGAATCTTTTTCCTGCAGCAGTTCTTTGTATAGATGCACCTTAACAGTATCCAAACATCATCCCTACCCTCTTATTGACCTCAACATTTTACTTAAAGTACTTACACTGTTCACTGCCTTCTTTTATTGTGAGTCACTGTTTCTCAGACGTGTACGTCAAGACGCTGGCATCACAGGCTCCCTTATCTTCCTCTCCCACCACAGTTTCTCTCTCAACACCTTACACTTCTCCTCCATGAACGTCACTGGCCTAGGACACCACTACCCTAGAACAGTCATCACTGCCCCTGGACACCATTGCCCATTATTCCTGGGACATCTCACTCCCTCTACCCCTTACACAACCTTACCTTGAGGTCCCTCCTGAAGCAGATAGCGACGAGGAAGATGTAGACACCCTGTAGGCTGTTGATAGAGTCTAGGATGGTGGTTCTGTAATAGAGAGATGGTGTTGTACTGATAGCTCTCTCTCTCTCTCTCTCTCTCTCTCTCTCTCTCTCTCTCTCTCTCTCTCTCTCTCTCTCTCTCTCTCTCTCTCTCTGTACAGGGGCTCAGAGCTGACATGGATTACTTACAAGACGCTGCAATGGTTCATAGTCTGCCAGGCGATGACCTCCGTGATCCACACTCCACCAATGACGATGAACAACTTAGCGTACAACCAGGCGCTGTCAACCAAACAATAACATCATTGCATCATCTGGCAAGACAGAACGTTATCTGGCAACTAGCATTATATGGCAACTAACATCATCATATGGCAACTAACATCATCATATGGCAACTAACATCATCATATGACAACTAACATCATCTGACAACTTAATAAACAAAACCAAAAACCCTACCCATCTGTATTTTATGAAGTGTTCCTCCCCAAATATTTATCATGAACCATTAGTATAAAATTTTTACCTCCGAGGGATGACCACCATCTTACCTCAAAGTATGTTTATTACTGTCAGATCCCAGCTTGTACCTCTGTCTGCGTACTAAGATTACAACAGACCTCACGAAGAACGCTAAGTTAATGATCAGGAGAACCAGCATAATGCCATATTGGTAAAGCCATCTCGAGTGTTCGTCTGTGGGGGGGGGGGGGTTGTCATCATGTTCATGTTAGATATATATCATCGTGTTAGATATACCATCATGTTAGATAATATTTAGTCATCAGGTTAGTTATACCATCATGTTAGAACATAAGAACATAAGAAAATAAGGAGTCTGCAATAGGCCGGTTGGCCTGTGCATGGTAGCTCCTGTCGAGAGTTACTACCACTCTCTAGCATCCATGAATCTATCCAGCCTCCTTTTGAAACTTTCCAGAGATCCCGCACTTACTACAAAGTTGCTAAGCTTGTTCCACTCGTCCACCACCCTATTTGTGAACCAGTTTTTTCCTATCTCCCTCCTAAACCTAAACTTATCCAACTTGAATCTGTTGCTTCGAGTCCTATCCTGCTCGGATATTATAAGAACTTTATCTATATCCTCTTTATTGATTCCTTTCACCCACTTAAATACTTCTATCATATCTCCCCGCACTCTTTGTCTTTCTAGGGAATGCAAGTTTAGTTTCTTTAACCTATCCTGATATGGAAGGTTTCTAAGTCCCGGAATCATTTTTGTCATTCTTCCCTGCACCGACTCTAGTGAATTTATATCCATTCTATAATAGGGGCACCAGAACTGAACCGCATAATCGAGGTGCGGCCTAACAAGCGCAAGATATAGTTGCAATAAGACCTCTGCACTCTTGCTACTTACACTTCTAGATATAAAACCCAATACTCTGTTTGCCTTATTTCGAACATTAACGCACTGTTTTCTAGGCCGTAGGTCCGGGCTTACAAGTACCCCTAGGTCTCTTTCACAAGTCGACTTCTCTAGGTTGATGTTAAGGCTGTATACATTGACAGTATTTGTTCTTCCAATATTAAGTACGCTGCATTTGCTGGTGTTGAATTTCATTTGCCATTTTTCAGACCACCCCTGCAGTTTATTTAGATCCTCCTGTAATGCATTTGCATCCTGCCCTGAATTAATTTGCCGCCCTATTTTGGTGTCATCCGCAAACTTGCTTATGTCATCAGGTTAGTTATACCATCAAGTTAGATATACCATCATGTTAGATATACCATCATGTTAGATATACCATCATGTTAGATATACCATCATGTTAGATATACCATCATGTTAGATATACCATCATGTTAGATATACCATCATGTTAGATATACCATCATGTTAGATATACCATCATGTTAGATATACCATTTGTTAGATATACCATCATGTTAGATGTATGTGTTTCTGTATATGTATCATGTATTATGTATGTGTTCTTACCCGAAAACCAACAATTAGGTAACTCAAACTTGGGACGGATGAAATCGACTTGAGTGAGGTCTATGATGAAGGCAACCAGCGTGACGAGGAAGGGACAGCCCCATGCATAGAGACTGTACAGCAGGAACACCCGGTTACCCTCTCGGTGATCGCTGCATGGTGAACTGAGGGCCGCCAACATCACCCACCACAGCCGCCATCACCCGCCATCGTCAAGAACACCGAAAAGGAAAATTAAAAGCATAAATATTACTCAATTAGCTCATAAATCCCCCATTTATTTCATTATTATTATTATTATATATATATATATATATATATAATTTTTTTTACGGGGAATAGCCCACACGGGTACAGGTCATCGACCGACAAACGGGGGAATAAGAGTAAAAGAAATTGAAAATAGAAAGGATAGATTATATTAATCTACATCACGAAGATGCCGGAAAACCATCTTTTTGAAGTGAGGCAGATTGTATGAGTATGGAAACACAGAAGAAGGCAGAGCATTCCACAGTTTGGCTGTGTGAGGAAAGAAGGATGTACTATAACGGGTTATTCTAGTGTGACCGACATCCACAGAGAAAAGGTAGGCACCGCTGGCAAGACGAGTGTTACGAGCCCACGGCCTTGCCGGCGGTACACAGGATGCCAAATCCACCGAACATTGCCCGTTAAAGTACCTGTAAAAGAGAGAGAGTGAAGCAACATTGCGGCGAAGAGAATGGGAAGAAAGATTATCAACTAAAGGAGGAGAGTTGATAAGACAAAATGCCTTTGATTCCACCCTTTCTAACAGTTGGACAGAAGAAGAACCACCCAAGATATGAGAGCAGTACTCCAAGTTAGGACGAATGAATCCCTCATAAACTTGAAGCAACTGCTCAGGAGTGAAGTAGCTACAGCATCTGTACAGCATTCCCAGCTTTCGGGAGGCAGCTTAACAATGTTGTGGATGTGTGGCTAACTCATAATACTCATAAATCCCTCAACTAACTCATATTACTCATAAATCCCTCAGGTAACTCATAATACTCATAACCCCTCAAGTTACTCACCAGACTCGTGAGTAGATGTGGTAACTCATGACATTTAGCCAGAAGAAAATGGCCAGCACAGTCATCAGCATTATCAGGGCTGTAATGAGTAGATGAGTACAGTAGATTAGGCAGGTGAGTAGACCGGTAGAGAAGGGTGGTAGATTAGTATACTGGATAAGGATCTGTGGTAGATTGATAGATAAGGTGTGAAAGTAGATGAACAGGTCAGTCCTAGGAGCCGGGACAAAATTGGCATTAGCTGAAAAGGTTTAATATCTATTTGTGATACTCTGAAGGAGTTGGATATTCACCTGTAATACTCTGAAGGGGTTTAATATCTACTTGTGATACTCTGGTGGGGTTGAATATTCACCTGTAATACTGTGAAAGGTTTGATATCTACCTGTAATACTCTGAGGAGTTTGAATATTCACCTGTGATGGTACATTGTACACCGGAGAAGACTTCACGACTGGATTTGTTAACCATGATGGTGATGAAGGCGGCGATCATGGTGCTGATGAGGGAGAGGAGACAGCGATCAGTGTTCCGTTTCCTGAGCTCCGGCACGACTATGTATACGATCCAGGTGAAGGCGAGGCAGATACACGACAGACTCATCAACACGGGTATCAAGATTTCTTCCTTCCACGGGCATTCCCACACGAGTGACTCCTTATAGCATATATTCGCTATCTGTTCCACCTGCTCGGTCGCTAGGTCCTGGTTGTTCTCGATGCAGTATTCCTCCTGGGAGAACACCTCCGTGGCCAAGACTTCTCCCGTCTCCATCAGGGTGTATTGGTCGTGTTTGTATATCAGGAATTTCTCACACACGGGGTAGCCATATACCATGTGGACCTTGGGAGAAACTGTTGCTGGAAATCTCTGTTGCCAGTCTGTACTGTTATCTGTTGGAGTACAGTACATTCTATTCCATATATGTTCTCCAGGTGGGCAACATTTTCGTACACAAGTGGTTTTGCTGCAGGCTTGGATGTCTTTCTTCATCTGAATGACGGGATCCTCATAGCAGACCTTGGCCACGTACACAGGCTGAGGGGACTCGCTGGCCATTGTACCCACACAGTAGTTCTCGGTCATCTGGTATGAGTGGCCGTTTGGTGGGAACCAGAAGAGCTTAATTACATCGTTTTTCATCAGCATCATAAAAGTATCCTTGTCATTAATTTGGACATACTTGTAACTGTCACAAGGTAGATCAGTCCCCTCATCGTTTGCTATGTTCATGGCAGGAATTATCGTAGTCGTGTTAATGATGACTGGAGGGGCGAACTCAATGGTGGGTGTGTGGAGGCATGTGTCGTTAGCAGCGAGAGTAGAGATAGAGAAATTTATAGGGCAGCAGCGCGGCAAGTAGAGAGGTGAATTCTGCCCTGCCGTCCACCCGGAGAGAGACACAGCCATCATCACCACGCCCACCCACCTCTTAAGATACATCTTTGCCTTTGCTCACGACACACACACACTGCTTGATGAATGACTGAGTAGAAGTCTTGTACCCTGGGGGAGAAACATTTGTATAATATTAATAATATTGTCAACTCATCTTCGTCTGTACGTTGTGTACGACATAATGTTGATGTACGATGATTACTTTTCTAGTTATATATATTTTTTAACTTGTAGTCATAATATAGTCACAACATTGGGCGTTATAGATTTAATAATGAATCTTCGCTGAATCTGTGATGAATTATTATCTGTACCAGTTTGGTCACCATCCTATACCTACTGAAGCACAGAACTAACACGCACAATAACAACAACAACAAAAACAACAAAAACAACAATAACAGCAACATCAATATACAACACACACACAACAACAACAACATACAACACACTACAACATACAACAAACACACAATACAACATACAACACACACAATACAACATACAACACACACACTACAACATACAACACACACACACTACAAGATACAACACCCACACTACAAGATACAACACCCACACTACAACATACAACACCCACACTACAACATACATAGAGGTTAATTAATATATTGAGGGGATCAGTGTGCTATTCGTGTTGGTAAGGAAGATCTGAGGTACTCCTGGCTGGTTGATCACGTGTGTTGCAGTATGACAAGTTTTTCGCCCTTGTTTTGTGTTTCTTGTTCGGAGATGTTTGTGAGGTGTTACCTGTGTGTGTGTTGTATGTGATAAACTGTTTATTATTATTATTATTATTATTATTATTATTATTATTATTATTATTATTAGTGGTGGTGGTGGTGGTGGTGGTTGTGTTGTTGTTGTTGTTGTTGTTGTTGTTCTGAAATATTTATCTTATCGTAGTAATCTTTAACATGTCCATCATTCTCAGTATTGTTATTTTGTTATCATTTACAAATTTTACCCGATGGTATTAGAACAATTGAATATATATACATCACCAATATTATACTCGACCCTCTTCCCCTGCCCCTAGTCTGGACTGGTCTGACGATGTGTGTGTGTGTGTGTGTGTGTGTGTGTGTGTGTGTGTGTGTGTTTAATTGCCATGCGAGGGGGCTAGTTTATTGGGCACTCCCCTGCATCCTGTGCAAGGCCTAGCGCAAAAAGCGTTTACAGCGCCCAGCAGGGAAGCATGCAGAGTTCATGCTTGCCTATACTCATGCATTGTAGGGCGTAATCGCCTGAAGGACCATGGATTTCATCGACAAGTTACATATAGTGACAGGATGAGTGTGTTAAGGAGAATTCCCGATATAATACATCTGCTTATGGCAAGTCCCTAATAAGTCAAATGCCAAGCCTGTTTGCAGGAGGAGGGATATTGGTCAGGAGGAAGGGGTGTTGTTGACGGCTGTGCTGTGGTAGGATAGTGTGTGTGTGTGTGTGTGTGTGTGTGTCACGCGAAGAAAGACCTCACTGTCCTACACACACACACACACACACACACACACAGCTGCTGATTTTGATGAGGAGTTAATGATCAGACTAACACTTAGAAGTCACTGATTTGAACATTTATGCAAGCAAGATACTTTACACAGTCACAAAACAAGTTCTTCCTAACACGTTTTTTGCTTTATGCTTGTAATTACATGTTCATATAATTTTTAATGAGACAATTAAATGTTGTCTCGTGTTTATTTGATTATGAAGATTTTTTTATCCAGTGAGGAAATTTGATGTCGTCAGCCAGTTTTGTGTATTTGAAGCATTTACAATTTCTACACTTGTTGTTTTGGTCAATAATATGGATAGTTGTTATTGTTATTGATATAATTAAGACTTCTGAAACATATGCAACCATACAGGTTATTAGTTATTGCAAGGACAATAATGAAAACAGCCATACAAATATTTACAAACTTCCAATTATAGAAAACCGAGAAAAGTGTCGCTATAACTATGATAAAAAGATTATTACACTAGCTATAGATTATAGTCGATATATAATTCAAACAAATATGACAATAAGAGCATGTGGATACCAGAATTAATAAGACCACGCTGAGATACGTAAGATAATGATGCCACTTGCGGTTCCTATCTTTCTTTGAGTTTATCCAGTTTGTTTGTATAACCGACCCCGAACTGTAAACACTCTCCAGATCAACTCACAAGACACTTTAAAGAATAGGAAATTGTCTTAAGGGATTTTCTTAATTATAAATCTATCTTAATATTAATCTGTGCTTATTCATGTCATTCATGATGTTAGGAATTAGAATTTAATGTTAGGTTAACTTAATTCATCTCGCTTGGTCACGTTGCATCTCGTAAGTCGCGAGTACATTATTATTATTATTATTATTTTTTGCTGTTATTATTTTTAGTCCTTTCTTATTTTATTATTCTTATTCATTTCTTATTATTATTGCTTTCTTATTTTCCTATTCTTATTGGTCTATTTTATTTAGCGCGTTGAAAGCATTAACCAGTTCTTGGCGATGCCAGAAGGCGGTGGTGAATCATAGCGGGTAAACTAACACTTGAGCTTTGACGCATCTCCTCCTTGATGTCCTCTTCCTCCTCCTTCTCCTCGTACTCCTCCTCCTCCTCCTCCGCCTTGTTCTCATCCTCCCCCTTTTCCTCGAACTCCTCCTTCTCTTCCTCGTACTACTCGAACTCCTCCTTTCCTTTCCCCCTTCTGACCTCCTCCTCCGCCTTTTCCTCGTATTCCCCTTTCTCCTCCTCCTCGTACTGCACCTCTTCCCCCTTCTCCTCCTCCTCCTCCTCCTCTTGGCTGTGATGTCGTCAACTTACAACACATGTGGGGATATTTGGTGCCCACGATGACGATTGGTTGACGATAATGATGATAACGACGTTGATTGGTTGATGATAATGATGATAACGACGTTGATTGGTTGACGACAATGACGTTGATCGACGATAATGACGTTGATTGGTTGACGATCACAACAACAACAACGTGCGGTGGGTCTGTTGTTTGTTGTAATATTTTATAACAGAGAGATTGTGTAGAGGAGGAGGAGAGAAGGAGAAATAAGAGGAGGACGAGGAGAAGGAGGAAGAAGGAGGAGGAGGAGAAGGCGAAAGAGGCAGTGCAATACTGCAATAGAGAAGGAAGAGAGGAAGGAGATGACGGAGGAAGAAAGGCAATCCCAACAACTACAAACAAACACAACTACAACCATCGTGGGTGGTTGTGATGGACGCTGTCAGCAACAAGAACTAAACACACCCAAGACAGATAAGCCATAAATAACTTGGGAACCCTTTTATTATCTCTCTGTCTCTCTGTCTCTCTGTCTCTCTGTCTCTCTGTTTCTGTCTCATTCCCGTCCTGTCTCAATATCTAAGATTGCATGTGGTGTATCATTGATTAGACGTCAAGTATAATATAACACCGATGAATTTAACCTACCCTGTTATCT